TCGGTGTTGTCAAAGCACGTTTGATTTTAAAAATGAACAAGGTAGTTTTTATTTTGAACTGTCGAAAAACAAAACATGAATTTTTAGCTATTAACGCTTTGAGGTAAACAACCTGTACGAATCTATGTATATTTCGACAGATGTGAACTTTCTCCGATGTAAAAATAAAGAACACGAATTCGAGTGATTCAATGTAAAAAATATTAGTTTTAATTAATAAACCTTTTTTTTATTTACTTTTTATCAATATGTCGGTGGTATTTAATTAAGGATTTTTACGCCTAGGTAAGAGTTCCAAATTTATAAAAACTAAATTTGTAGAAAGAGAACCTTATGGTTGAATGTAAAAAATAATAGAACATGAAGTAATATTTCCAAATTATGTGTATGTATACATATTATATTCTAAAAATTTTAACAATAAAATAAAAACAACGTTTGGAATATTCTGTTAAATGAAAAAAAAAAACAATTTTAAGGTATTTTTAATATTCCGAACATTTGTAATGAGTAGAACAAGACAATGACTATACATTTCTTATTTCAATGTTGTTTTAATTTTTCGTAATAAAAAAATTTTGCTATTGAATATTGAAAGTGTTACGGCAATATAACATGTCATACATTCTTCATGTAATGACATAATACATGTAATGACATGTATTATGTCATTACATTCTACATGTGCATAATACATGTAATGACAAAAGTCCACTATTTCTTTATCTGGCACATGTCATTTGTAACAAATACGAGTATGCTTTCTGTTAGATGTCAATTAAATGTAACAAACCAAGTTTTGTGTTAGCAATTTTATATACATATTATTTATTAAACGATTTTAAGAAGTAACATCAATTTGCAAGTTTATTGCTTTTCTAATTGAAGCAATCATTACGGGTTTTAGCGAGGCTAGGTAAAAATCTGTCATATAAAAACATCGAATTTTTATCAAGTAAATTCCAATGTTGAAAGAGAATAGGTTCAAAGCAAATACATATAATCCATTTATAGCGCTAAATTCCGAATGAATTAAAACAGCCATATGAATTAAATCCATATAAAAGTATAAAATATAGTTAACCATTTACATATTTGCATTAAAAAGCTAGCTAATAAGGTACTTTTCATAACAATTCATTTATCTTCTATAAAAACAAACCCCCTTTAGAATCAATTCATTTGAATCCAAATTGTCCAGGTTTTTTTTATTTTTTATTGATTTTTATTCAAACTATTTGATAATTATTAATAAAGGATTTGGAAACCAGTGTTAATTTAATGTTTTCAACTTTATATTACGTGCAACTGTAAATTTAAATGTAAAAAAAAATTATTAATTTAAAGTTTTTTAGAAAATATCTCGTCTTGGCGTGACATAAAGTAAATTTTATGTGGTGTCATTCTATCTACTACTATATAAACAATACTTTATGTCACGAGCTCAATACAAGGGCTGTGTTTAATTTTGACTTTTGAAAATGGGATGCCATTGTAAAGAAATTTCTTTAAGGTTTATATATAAGGGAGCGTTTACATATGAAGCAAATTTTGACAATTTTATTTGATTGGATGGAATTTTGCTCTGTAACAATCAATTAACTCAAACAAAATCGAACGAGAAGAATTGAGTTTTGTCAAACAAACCTTTTATGAATTTATATTAAAAATGACTCAAAAAAATATATATTGTTGGCGACAATTTAATTCTATTAGTTACATCATTCAAAAAAAATTATATTTATTTTTCCTGAAAATTTATTTTAAATAATTTATTTTCATTTGCAAATAAATCACTCACACTTTCACATATATAGATATATCTCGATATGAATAAAAAAAATATAATTGGACAACGTACTTGAACAAATAAAGTTTGATTTGCAAACAGAATTTCTCATCCAATTTCATTGTTATCAAATTTAATCATGAAATTTTGCTTGATGTGTAAATGCTCCTTTGTCGAAATCTTAAAACTTTAATAACTGTACTTAAAACTTAAATAACTCACTAGGTTTTCTGACATAGAAATAGGTGTACAAACTTAAGGGGAGAATGAAAACGAAGAGCGATTTCTATTGTAATATTTTGGGATCAAAAACTAAATATTTCGACTTGAAACTTTAATTAGTAAATAAAGTTTATAGTCAATTAATTAAATATGTTATAATGAAGACAATATTTTTTTAATGAAGAAAATTTATGAAAATACTTACAGGAAACATTTGGTTTTTGTACCTAGAGTAAAATTATCTTTGGTCAAAACACAGCATTTGGTTTAAATTTAATTAGACCAAAAGAAAAAAATATCTAAATATTAAATCTAAATATTAAAGTCAAATAGAGAAAATTTAAAGATTAAAACCATGAACAATAAAAAAACTAACTAAAAACAAAATTTTTTTAAACTTCAAATAATATACGTTCATATAATACTCAAAAAAATATTCAGTTTCCCATTAGCGTCTAATAATAGGATATCAGCAGTAATTCAATTTTAGATTTAGACAGACTAGAACTGATACGTTTGTAATAAAAACGCGGTTGCCATGACTTAAGAGTTTACAAAGTCATTACATTTAAAGCATGTCAATGTCAAAAGTGCTTTCATATTTTGTATAAGTTAATAAGTTTCAAATCGAACATTAAAGATTAAAAGCTTTAAGATTTTGTTTTTAGTAAAAAATTATAGTCAGCTAACCCATTATAATAAATTGTTTTGAAAAAGGTAGTTTCTTTAAAATTAGATGTATTTTTAATGTAAAATAAGAGTATATAAAAAATAATTCATAAAAATAATTACATATGTATGTATGTATAGCTTACATTAAAAAATTATAATGCAATAGTGGAAATAGTAACTGTAGATTAGTAATTTGGGAAAACAGTTGATTACATTTTGAAATGAAAGTGCTGCTAAAGCGCTGTGTGTATTTTTCGATATAAACATACATCTTTTAATCCTCCTAAGAATTTTTGGACTAATATATCGGCAAAATTTTTTTGAGCTATTGGCTTTTCATTTTTTGTAGCCAAAGCAAGATAAAACCGCATAAATGACTAAATAAATATCCATTAATTTACACACGTTATGTATAAATACTTTTACATGTTATTTACATACGTAATATGTACACTACGAGTTGTGTTGTTTTAACACCATTGTACGTATATTTCATTTTGATTTAGTTTTAGTTATTATTAGTACATATTAAATACGTATTTATTTTATGTATTTAGTATGTATTATAGCTACTTAATATGTATTTTATAAGTATTCCGTCAGATAGATAAGTGAACAGTAAATACAAATGAAGTTTTTATATTGAAGAACGCACACTGGAAAGAGAAAGACTGTAAAGTCACGTAATGTAAGTTTATAGTCAATCCATTAATACATAGGTATATATAGATCTTCGTATCTACATATGTTCAGTAATATATTAATGCATTACTGTATTTCTGTTGTTATACACCAAAGAGATCCATGATATAATAAGTATATATTCTTTTTACAAAAACCGTTTTTTTTGCTATACTTTGAAAATTTTTAACAGGTTGCTATAATTTTGCAAAAAAATAATATACACGGTGTGTCGCATAAGGTGGCAAATAATTTCAGGGATGATGCTTTGATCAATTTTCAGCAAAAATGTAGGTATATTTATAACTTCGGAACCATGCAACAAAGAGTAACCATTGGGGGCTTGTTTTACAGGCGATTGGTCGTTCTTTATTTTCAGTTTTACAATCAATTTGATTTGACCCATAGCTTTCGAGATAAAGCTGGTCAAACTAAGAATTTTTGTTAAAAAACTTAAAATTTTTTGTTATTTTTCTTTTTTTTCGATTTGCTACGATAAGAGCTGAAAGTTTACACATAATATAATATTTTCCTTTATCTCTCATAGTTTTGCCAGTAAAACGTGTTAAATGTTCATAAAAACATGCCAAAAATCCAATTATAGGTCAAAAATATTCATGAAGTTTTTGTGGAATGGTCTGACAAGTTCGGCCATACAACCATGAAAGCTGATTGTAAATATTTCAAAAACCAGTCCTTGTATTCAGATTGTCAAGGCGCTGGATATAATCTGTTCGTTTATATGGTTGCTTAAAAGCGTACATACCGAAATCGGCTTCACTCAAATCAATAAAAAAAATTTGCTTAGAGGGCTTGAAATGTTTAAGATAATTTGAAATTTAATAACTAAACGGAATTTTCGAACTTACTAGCTGACGTATTTTGAGTTTCAAGCTGATTTCAAATCATCTTTAACATTCAGCTGCAACATACAGTAGAAATAAAGTAATTTATAAAGAAAAAATTATGTTTTATAAACATATTATCGATACATGTGTATGTTTATTCATAGGAAATATGTATTTTAAATTTGTAAAGACAAGATTGAAATAAAAATCAAAAGTTTATACATATTAATGCTATTTACTGACAATTATTAGTTACAAACTTAAAATTTTTTTTAATATCTGCTTTTTTAAATTATTTATAAATTTTAATTATTTTTTTCTTAATTTTCTTGATTTATAATCGCTTCTCTTTTATAGCATGGATACTTTGCCACCTTTTACTAGAATGAAATAATGACTTTATATACGAAAATTATACTTTTGTGCGGTTCTAAAAATACATTATTAATAAATAGGTAGACATAATATATTGAGTACTCTTCCTCTCCCAAAAATTCCTATGTGTATAAAGTTAAAATTAACTCTTTTAGCTAAGGAAATTTGTTGTATACAAATATCTATTGCTGAGTGATTGCATTAGTCTGGTGTAAACTTAGAGTCACTTCTACTACTACTTCTTAAATAAATATACTTTGGTTTGAATTTGGCTTTAGACTGCATTATTATATACATAAATAATATACATTGATTATTTGATCTACTTGCATAAGCACAACCGAAATGTTGAGGAATATTAACGAACTTAGATATATCAGTTTGATTTGAACTTTAAAACAAAAAATTACTACTTTTGTTTCAATTTCGGTTAAATTTGTTAGTTTTTAGTTTTGATGACACATATAGTTGTGGTATTGGAATATTTTTAAGTATTAGGATTTTATTGAACAAATACATTAATATTTTAATAATTTGTACATATGAATTGTGTAAGCATGTATCTTTATACATATATAAATATATTTTAAACTTGTTTATAACCAGTTAATTTTTTGTATTGCGATATGTACTTAAATATATACAGCGTAAAGCAAAAGTGAATTTTCAAAATTTTGTGACAAAAAAATTTCAGCAATAGTATCTACATAAGTAAGTTGTTTTATGATTATTTTTCTATTTTTGAGCTCTTCAAATCTAATTTTTTTTATTCTATACCTAAGATTCTGATATACACATGAGTATATTTTAAGTACGTTACTTTGACACTTAAATTTTCGCTGAAATTATTTTAAACGCAATGTAAATTGAAAAATTTGTAATTTAGGATAATAAGGAGAAATTGAATACCCCCATTTTGTTAGCAACTTTTCTACTAGATAAAAATAATAAGTTCTTTATTAGTTACATACATATATTATATTTTATGTATGAGCTATGCTAAGTTGAAATTATAGTATGTGGTTATTTTTAAATTCTTTTTATTTAGATAGGTACCTATTATTTTATTTTGAAGAATATAAAATTTTAATGAAATCATGTATTACATACATATGCATGTACATATATCGCTATTTAAAAAAATGAATTTCAACTCCCCACACATATGATTTCACTTTTGCTTCACACTGTACTTACATAGTACATAATTATAATAAGTAGTTGATTTTATATAATTTTTGGGTTTTTTTTTTGTCCTTTCTTTAAAAACAGGTGTTACAAAATAATGAAAGATTAATTTAAAGTGCCATTTTCAATTTTATAAAATAAATTAATAATATTGATTTGATTTTGTCTTTTGATTGAATTAAAATTTTTAATAAAAAAAATTTTAACATAAAACTTATAGGTGAAGATTTGATAATAAAAACTTGAAATTTACAATAATGAAACATATCACATTTTTTGTACATGTGTATGTATGTACATATCGCATTTTTTCGACACTTAGATAAAGGTCCATAATGTTAATCTTTTTGATTTGCCCTATATTTTGTGCCTTTTAATTTTTTAAATTTTAAATTTTTATAGAACACAAATGGGATCAATAAATTGTAAGGAACTAATTACGGCTAAGGAAAGTCAGTCGCAAAATAATGGTGAGTTAGAAGTTCAACAAATTTAAGTTAGTATCAACGATTAAACATTGACATTTGCGTTGGGGCAGTTACATAATTTATATATGTACATATTTTCTAAGATATGGTCAAACTACTATTGAAGTGGTATGGCAGCTAACACAAGGAATCAAGAAATTTCAACGATTTTTATTACACATAACATTCCTAATATCGTATACACTAGCTTTTACGAAATTTCTATATAGAAGTTATACTTCAATAATTTTTAAGATAATTCCAAATAACATTTGGAGTTAAGTGGCAGCTATCACAAGTGCTCATGAGATCTCAACAACTTTTAATGAATATAGCTGTTACTTTACCGTATTTTATTTTTCAAAATTTCAGTACTGTAGTTTGAACAGTTTTTAAGATATAACCAAATAACTTTTAAAGTTGTATGTCAGCTATCAGAAGGAGTCAAGCAATTTCAACGACTTTTATCAAATCCATCAGCCCTGATAATATATCGGCTTGTGTGAAATTTCAATACTACAGCCCTAATAGATTCTGAGATATAGCCAAATAACTTTTGAACTTTTTTGTATGACAGCTGCCAGAAGGAGCCAAGCACTTTGAAAGACTTTTATCAAACACATTGACCCTACTAATATATTAACTTATGGGAAATTGCCTTTATAATTTCTGAGATATAACCAAATAAGGTTGGAAGTTGTGTGGCAGGTACCTGAACCGGCACCTCGATCATAATCAATTTAAATAGGGTTCTGGCATTTACTATAATAAGACAGTTACGAAAATTTACTGAGCTTAGCTCAATTAGTTTTTGAGTTATTGTTTGGACGGACGGACAGACGGGACAGACAAAGCTAAATCGACTATGAACTCGACGCTGGTCAAAAACATACTTGAGTCTATATCTCAGACCGTTATTTCTTAGCGCTACAAAAGGTAAGGCAAATTTAGTATACCCTTCGAACATACGTTTGTACGGGTATAATAACTATTTTTATTTCAATTTCGGTATTGATGACGCATATAATTGTGCTATTGGAATATTTTTAAGTATTAGGATTGGATTGAGCAAATCATTAATATTTTAATAACTTGTAAAATTATTAAAAATTTATATTTATTCGCAATTATCAGTTACAAATTTGGTTTTTTTTTTCAATAATTTTTGTCTTCGTGTACTTTATTTTTATTATTTTTCAAAATTATATTATACTCGTATAAACTCAAACTATCTGTTTTTATTTTAACACTCAAATTTTTTTTTTTAAATCTCTTCGCTTTTTTATAATGAATAATGATATACCTTTTTGTATGGAATATGTAATTTAATTTTAAATTTACAACTCCTGGCTTAATAATATAAGTTTGCTGAATAGTTAATTATAATCGACATTTTTAAGAAAGCAGACGTCATCGTGGAGATATTTTATAATATGAAGTGATACCCTTGTTTGAAGAATTGTTAAATAATTAGTGTTAAACCATTTATAAACTTTATTATTTTTAAATGCTGCAGTTTAGAAGGTGTATAGAGTATTGTATTAACATTATGAAACGAAATTTGAAATTTAAATCGTTAAAATTCAAATTTTGAGAATTTGACAACATTCATGTAAGATTTTGCCGTTTTACAACTTGCATCATGTCAAACTTACCAAAAATGTACATTAAAATTTATTTAGATTGAAGTGTGTTTGCTTAAACTGTGCAGCAGTCATTTTAAAATTTTAAAACCGCAATAGCAGCTTTTTTGAAAACTTCAACTGGGACCTTATTATGTAATTCGATTTTCGTATTTGCAGAAATGGAAAGGTAGTGTAAAAATTGTACTACCTTACCATTTTTCTGAATACGGAAATAGTTTTATGAGAATGGAATTGCACAGTAAGGATCCCGCACTTTCAAAAATAGCTTAGCTAAAGATCTGCAAAAACATTTTACTACTAAAAAACAAATTATAAGTTTTTGCAGGTGTCAATCAATGCAAAAAACTTTGTATTTTTTATGCAAAAAATAATAAGTTTATTTTATTTTCTTTCAAATTAATACAATATCATTTTCGCAAAAGAAATAGCCATATGCTCCTTAAGAACTTTTACATCTTTCCCGTCAAAATTTCTATAAGAAAACACTGATGTTATATCTTTGAAAGTTTAACTGTAAGTCAGACACAAAAATAAAATATAATTTTTATGAGCCTGTGTACATATTAAAAATATTAATGTCGTATGATAATTGCTTACGAAAATTATTATGTCAAATGCAACAAAAAATTGAGGGTGTCAATAGTTATACTGCTTACGCTATTTATGGCAATTACCAAACTATAAGCCAAGGAAAATATAATTTAAAAAAATAAATAATTTATAGCTTTCAGCAAAATTATTTTTGTATATGTAATAAATATTGTAATTTTAATTAGTGACAAAGAATATCTGGTATTCAGACTATTTATATATACATACTTATGTATGAACGTAAGTATTTACAAAAATTATAATGTAAAGAACAAAATTTGTGAAGTTTTACAGCTGCTACATATGTATATATTCATATGTATGTACATATTACATTTAACCCCACATAATATGTACAAATGTAATATTTATATATGTATATCTTGTACACTGTAATTATATTATTTTGCTTATAAAACATATACATATAGGGAATTCCTGGAGGTCTATAGATTTTTCATTTCAATATTTTGTGAAAAAATTTTGTTTAAATTCTTACATTATGTATGTATGTATCTTCTGTAAATGTTAGAAGCAAGCGTTCTGCAATTTTCTGTTCTTCTAAAGCGTTTTGTGTCTGTGAACATTAACATATTTTACTTTTGGTTTTTTGAAAACATACATATGTACATTATTATATAGTATCTACAACATTATTAAATATTTGCTATAACAGAAATAAAATTCCTTTATGACTCATTTAAAATAACTACTATGTAATGAAAAATAGGTACATATTTGATGTATGTACATATTATGTAAATTAAATATTTTGTTAAACAAATTTTGTCATTATTTGCGATGCAATAACGATTTTTTTACTGATCTTTGGTAATTGAAGTTAATTGGTCAAATCAAAGTGATTTGATTTGCGGAGTTTTTTCTGTTGTATAAAAATCTGTTATTTTGAAGTTGTGATCTCAAAATTAAGAGCGCATGTGTTGCACTTAACAAATTATTAGAATTTAATAATGATCATTTAAACTGGCTTTTGTAATAATAAACGGAAGTTTTTTACTTATTTTAACCCATTTTTTCACTTTGGCTTCTTTAGTTTCTTTTATATCACTTTCTGCATATTCGGTTGAATTTGATTTATTTTCAATAACTGAACTATGATTTTTTTGATGGATTAAAGGATTATTTGATTTTACTAATAACTGTATCGCTAATAAATCATGATAATCTGGAGCTCTAATTGAGGGACGTGTGGTATAGATAGGCGGAACTTCATATGTATTCATTTTTGTATCATTGAGTTTTTTCTGTTGTATAAAAATCTGTTATTTTGAAGTTGTGATCTCAAAATTAAGACCGCATGTGTTGCACTTAACAAATTATTAGAATTTAATAATGATCATTTAAACTGGCTTTTGTAATAATAAACGGAAGTTTTTTACTTATTTTAACCCATTTTTTCACTTTGGCTTCTTTAGTTTCTTTTATATCACTTTCTGTATATTCGGTTGAATTTGATTTATTTTCAATAACTGAACTATGTTTTTTTTGATAGATTAAAGAATTATTTGATTTTACTAATAACTGTATCGCTAATAAATCATGATAATCTGGAGCTCTAATTGAGGGACGTGTGGTATAGATAGGCGGAACTTCATATGTATTCATTTTTGTATCATTGTTATTCGATGAAGCTTGATTTTGTCGGTCAGGTAAATCAAATATTTTTGTTGATTCATAACATCGTCCCGTAGATTTATAAAATCGTCCTTTATTCGCTAAAATTGTTAGTTCCGAATTTCCAGCCAAAACAGGTACAATAGAAAGAAAAAGTCCAAACATATTCTTTATAAAAAAAAATTATTCAATAATTGTGACTAAAACGGCTTATTAGACAAGGTACTCTTACCAGAAGTAGCATTTTTACACGACTAAAACACTTCATATAATATAAAGTTTAAAAGGCGAATAGAAGATGATAATGAACTTAAAATCCACTAAATACATTTTGAAAAAAACAAGTTTTTATTTTTTTGTACGTATACGTTATATAATGTCAATAACCTTAATAGACTACCATTTTTATATAATATGTATTTTATCTAGTTATATGTATTTTATGTCTCATTAAAAGTTATAAAATTGTTCATAATTTGTAAATATTATGTGGATCTGTATTTATGTATAGCCGAATTATTTTAATTATATAACATTTATTTAAAAAAGAATAAAAAATTTATAGATATGGCCCAAATTTACACATCAACATTAGAAAATGACGATTACGTTGAAGGAACTATTTGCCGGGAAACCGATATTAATGAAAATGAAATGAAACAATTTGATTTAGGTGACAATGGGAAGGTTTTATTAATCAAGCGAAATGGTGAATTGTCTGCTTTGGGTACTAAATGCACTCATTATGGTGCACCTTTAAACACCGGTGCATTGAGTGATAATCGTGTCCGTTGTCCATGGCATGGAGCATGTTTTAACTTGAAGACGGGTGATATTGAAGATTTTCCAGGTCTTGACTCTATTCCATGTTACCAAGTAAAAGTAAACATTAATGGTGAAGTAGTAGTACGGGCAAAACGAAAAGATTTAAATAATAATAAAAGAATTAAGGACATGGTAAAAAAGTCTCCAAGTAACGATACTACTTATGTAATTGTTGGTGGTGGACCTTGTGGTGGAGTCGCTGTAGAAACATTACGACAAGAGGGCTTCACAGGCCGCATTGTTTTGATATGTAAAGAAAATTCACTTCCATATGATCGAGTTAAACTGTCGAAAAATTTTGGAATTGATTTATCTACACTTGAATTTAGAAAAAAAGAATTTTATGAAGATTATTCCATTGAAACGTTATTAAATGTTGAAGTCAAAACATTAAATACGAAAACAAAAACCGTCATATGTTCAAACGGATACTCAATTAAATATGATAAAATATTAATCGCAACTGGCAGCAGAGCTGTAAAAGCAGTCATACCTGGCTGTGATTTGAAAAACATCTTCACTATTAGAAATCATGAAGATGTAGCTGAAATAAATAAACTTATTAATGAAAAATCTGATGTTGTGTGTCTAGGCACTGGGTTTATTGGATTGGAAGCTGCAGCTTATGTTACTGGAAAAGTAAAATCAGTAAGTGCATTTTATATTTTTTTTCAAATAGTTTTGCTATTTTAGTGATACATAGAATATCATTAATCATTACTATAAGAGTTAAAGACATACTCTACTTCGCATATAGCTCTTTATTATACTCGTGTTTAAATTTGTTTATTGTAACTTCTATAGTCGTGCTAGGCTAAAACCCTCACAGCATTAAAATTTTTCAATCATTTGATACCGATATTGAATTAAAGAGTAAAGTTCTAGGTTCTTTTGTTAGGCCAGCAAAAAATTAAGATTTTTACACACAGATATAATTTCTAATATGTACATTAATACGTCTTTTCTGCACAATTTAAAAGATAAATATGTATGTATTAATTTATTTTTGCCAAACATTGATTCCTTCGCAGGATTTTTATGAAGTTTTACATACTACATAATTTTATTATAAAATAAATTGAATAAATTCGCAAATTTACCTTTTTATAATATGCGCTAAAATTCAGGTCTCTCGGGTTTCGAAAAGGAGAGGAAAAAATTTCATATGATCATCTAAATATGTAATGATAATATATGAATGAAACTAGCATTTTTTTGGTTTAGAGTAAAAAGACATTAACTAGGTTGTAAACCCACACTGGGCAGGTGCATTTTGTAGATTTGTTACAAACAGCAGATACATATGTATGCATTAATAACTAAAATATTTTCAGCATACCTACATACATATGTACGTAGGTACTCAAGATAAAAATATTTCGCTAAATTTGTCGAATTTACATCTTTTAAATATTTAAAAATAAAGAAAACTTGGTCTAATTTAAATAAAGTGTCTCTTAGGGTTTATTTATATGTATATATTTTATACGAAAAAATGTCATTAGTGCACCATCAAATATTTTTCCAAAGTGAACATAGATTTTAATAATTAAAAGTAACTGTTTGTTGCAGTATACGAAAATGTTACGTTTATTTGTTTGCATAAAAATATAAAATGAATAATTATTTAGTTATCTGTAACAATAAAAAGTTTGACTCAAGTTGTGATGCAATTTCATGTTTTAAATGACAGAGCTAAAAAAAAATTATGATAATCTTGCCACTTCGTAAATATAAGCACCTAAAAGCTTTGTTCCTTGAATATAGTTAAAAATATCCAATTTTTCATTTTGAGAATGAGCCCCGTCGTCACATGCTCCAACTGGTATTAATACAACATTTTTTCCTGTTGCTTCTTGTAATGTTAAAGTTACTGGAATAGAACCACCTTCGCGAGTCATATCTGGTTCAACATTGAACACATGTCTAACAGCTTGCTTTGCTGCTTCATAATGTGGATGAGAAGGATCTTCTGTCCAAGGTTTACCACCATGTGCCATCAAAACTTTCATTTTATTTGGTGATCCCCTTTCAGCCCATTTTTTTGACAAATAATCAATAACATATTTTTCGATATTTTCTGGTAGTTGATTTGGGACAATTCTTATTGAAAATTTACCAATAACTTTGCGTGGAATAACTGTTTTTTGGCCTGGCTCATAAAACGCGCCTTCAATTCCGTGAATAGATAAACTAGGAAATCTCCAACGATGCATTAAAATTTTCCTTTTTTCTTCATTATGCAATAAACGCATTGTGCCCAAATCCTTTTTATATTCACTCACTTCAAAATCTATGGAATCGTACATTTCATGTTCTCCTTCCATTAATGGTGCAACATCTTTTTCCAGATTTGTGATCAAAATTCGACCATCTTTGTCAACAAGAGTGTTAAGTAAATAAATTAAATCAGTCATTGCCTCATGTACTGTTCCTCCAAATACACCAGAATGTAAGTCTTTTGATGCACATTCAACTTCGATATAAAAATAACAAATTCCTCTAAGACCATACGTTATACACGGTTTATTTTTACCGAGCCAATAATTGTCAGAAATGCAAACATAATCAACAGATTTTAGAAAATCATCTTTTCTACTAAAAAGAAGTTCATCCAGACCTTCACTGCCGGATTCTTCCATTCCTGATAACAAGATAAAAAAATTTTGAATATGCAAATATATGTATGTATATGCATGCACACCCAAATTTTTAAACAAGTTTTAGTTTATCTAAATCTAACAAAGCAAATTTTGTGTACTAAAACACATTATTCAAGTTAAATTTTATAATATTCACTTTCTTTGTCAAATATTTGAGATATAATTGTGCAATGAATTTTATTTATTACGCGTATTTATTCATGTATGTATGTATGTCTGTTTATTGAAAGTAATTGGATTTTTTTTTAAGAGACTGACTAATCACCTTAATGGCTGATATAGATAAGGAAGTGGGTATTTAGCTTAATTGTCGTCATGTGATATTAATTTTTCTTTAATTTTATATTCTTACCTTCAAAAACAAATTTTATATTTACAGGTATTTCTATATTTAATTTTTGATATGCTTCAATTGCATGTATCCAACACAAAACGGGCCCTTTGTCATCTGAAGCACCTCGGGCATACATTTTTCCTAAATATGTAAAATTTGTATTTAATAAGCACTTTTTGTTAAATTTTTCAAATATTAAATTAAATAATTTTTCACCATCTTTTTGTGTGAGTACAAATGGTTCAGTATCCCAACCGTCCTCCTTCAGAGCTGGTTGCACGTCTAAATGTCCATAAACGCAAATGGTTTTTTTTTTTGGATCGTTTCCCAATTCTCCTAATACAACATTTGGCAATTCAATTTTTTTACCGTCAGCCAAAATTTGTTCACCAACATTTACTAACTCACACTTTACACCTAGTTTAGATAAGCGGTCAGATGTCCATTGTACCATTTTTTGAACCTCTGAACGATGATCTGGCCATGCTGACACAGATTTTATAGAACATACCTCGCGTAATGCTTCTATATATTCAGCTTTATGTTGTTCCACATAGTCAAATAGACTTTTTAAATTGGTTGGCAATTTGGTCATATTTTGAAAGTATGTATCTTGTTAGAAATAAGATGCAGTTAGGTTTTCGTTTTTATATAATAAGTAAGCATGCACAAATAAACAAATTACTTCAAGCAGGAACTTCAAATCAAACTGATAAAATATCATATAATAATCAATCATGTGTTTTGAAATATAAATATGTATATAATTATATTATGCGTTTGGCTCATTCAAGATCAAACTTCAATCAAGTTTATGCGACTACAACGTGTAGTTCAAAAGCTTTTTCAAAGAATTCGTTCACGTTGGAAGCGTATTTTGTGATTTGGTTGGATTTATAAAATATTTTTGAAATACAATATGATAAAAAAATAAGAATTATTTTAAAAATAAGAGTTAAAAAATAAGAGTTATTTTTGACAATGTCAAAATATACATATGTTAAATTCAATTTGTCAAAAAATTATATAATTCTCGGTGAAAAGAAAAACTAACTCGCGATGCAAAGCTTATTATTTATAAATTTAACACGGTTTCGTGAAGCAACCGCGTGTGCTTTTAAAAATATATACATATAACCACCCATATTCTGGAAGTCGTTACGCATGCAAATTCGTACTATTCTAGTACTATTCTAGTAGTTGTAGCCGTGATAAATGAAAATGGTATCAATTTCGACGTGATGGTTTCATCGCGGGAACTCTAACAGTTTAACAGGAAGTTTAATAGCCTATTCTCGCTTTTCTTACTTACTTGTATCTCGCTCACGTGTATCTTGCTTTTTTTCTTCGCTTTTCAAATCAGAATTCTCCGTTTTTCTAATGGATATTCATTTTTCCATTAAGATTCCTCATTTTGCCAATTGGATTTTTGCATTTTATTTTAGAAAAAAACGAGATACGTAAATCACAATACCAAATAATTCTTCTCACTCTAAAATTACATTATCAAACATAATAGTTAATCGCTTTCCTTTCACTGATCAGGCCCTAATTATCCCTATATACATACATATTTATATTTTTTGATAAATATTTTTACAAAATACATACATACTTATGTACAAATTTGAACTTTTAAATATAAAATTTTGAGTAGATTAAATAGATACGTAAGTCGATATTTTTCTTTGCTCTTTCATTTTACAAGGTAACCGTGATTGGACGTGATGTTGTCCCATTAAAAACCGTTTTTGGAGAACTTATTGGAGAAAGAATTAAAAAGTTGTTTGTAGATAATAATGTCAATATGATAATGAATAGTGGAATTGAAAGGTGCTTTGGAAACGACAATGGAATTTCTGCGGTTCAATTAAAAGATGGACATACAATACCTTGTGATATATTAATTATGGGAACTGGTACTGTTTTAAATACAGAATTCATTAAAAGTTCTGATGTTGTAGTGAATAGAAATGGATCAATTGACACAGATAAATATCTGATGTCCAATATTCAAGATGTTTATATTGCTGGAGATATTGCAAACGCACCAATATATTCAGCTGAAGGGAAAAATGGTGTCATAGGGCATTATCAATTAGCTCAATATCACGGTAAAGTAGCCGCAACAAATATGGCTGGAATAAAAATGGAATTAAAAGCAGTTCCATTTTTTTGGACAATGCTATTTGGCAAATCATTTCGGTATTCCGGTTACGGGAAACACGAGGAAGTAAAACTTATGTAATTTTTTTTTTCTTTCAATATGAATTTTTTTGTTTGTGTAGACATACATTGAAGGCGACTTAGAAGAACTCAATTTTGTGGCATATCATTTAGAAAAAAATGGAAATGTTATCGCAATAACAGCTTGTACGTCAGAACCAGTAGCAGCTACTTATGCTGAATTACAGAGCCAAGGGTTCCGTTTGCACAAAGATGATTTACAAGGAGATCCAAAACTTTGGATGTCAAAACTAAAAATTTAAAATTACTGAAGTTCAAACTCTATAACTATAAGATCCGGCTTTTTTACCACTATTATTAAATGCTACAAGTATTATTTGAAGTTGTAACTGCTCAAATGTTTTATTGTTTGATAAAATTAGTGTTTCCTGAGAATTAAAATAATACAAAATATAACTAGCATTAGCTCATTGTCAATTTAATCTCTTAACTTTTAGGTTGGTGTTGTGGTAAGGAAAAGTTCACGAATTTCGAGATTTTTTAAAACGTATATTTTAATTCGACTATAAAATAGATACCCATTGTTAAAACGGCCAAAAAAATATGAATCATTATTCAACACTGATAGATTTTCTTAACTTTATTCCCAAACATCTTTCACCTTAAGGTGATTTAATTTGTCCTCTAGAGTTATGTGTGTTTTCAGCTTAGCCAAAGTATTTCGATTGTTCCACACTTTTATTAATTCCTCTCTTTTATGCAATTCTTTGGTATGTCCATTTGATTCTTCCTGAAAACAAATATAAAATTAATGTAAGGAATATACATAACGTGCTACTATAATCGAACTACATTTTCAACAAATTTCTATATTGGTTTCGAAATAAAAAGGAAGGAAAATATATTACATATAAATTATTGACAAGTTGACTTTAGTTTCAAAATATGTACATAAAATCTGTATTTGATGTGACAATAGAGAATTCAATTGCATTCCCCTAAAAAAATTATATCATACGTATTTATAGAAATGTAGATTTACCAAAGACAAATAAGGATTCCGTAAGAACAACATATTAGCTTCTTGTCTTTCATAATCCTTCCGTAATTCTCTAATAGAACTCATAGTTACTTTCTTAACTAATCGACGTTTACCACGGAAAATATGACCAGGAACTGTTTTTTTAAACATCTGTAACAGTGTTAATTGCATGTTCACTAGTATGTTATACGCGCTGCTAACACTGCTGAAAAATTCCAAAATTCGAATCGAGAACAAATCAAGAAATTTTGAAAATCGTGAAACTTTATGAGTTAAATATTGTGACTAAAGCGATTTAAATTATATAGACTCAACATTTACAAGGTCTGTTGAATAATTAATGACATATGGCGTTAATATGGCATTGATGCTTTGTAAATTTTTAGTCTATGATGTATGTACATATATTGCGCTTAGTGTTCCCACTCGGTAAAGATAAAATGTATCCAATTTCGATAAAAAAATGTATTTAATTTCGATAAAAAAATGTATCCAGCCTCTTAAAGTAGAATTATTATACTAAATCGTTTTATTTTGTACAAATAAACTCATAATTAATATTAATTTGCTTTATTCAACAATGTGAGTTTTGTTATTTATAGTAAATTCTTTAAGAAATCACGCGTAATATTTTAAATGTAAAAGTCTTGGCCAGAAAGTATATGCTTTTTTTTAAAAAAATTTTTTTAATAAAAAAATTTGGCTCTGTAACTGTAAAATGGACAAATTTTAAATAATGGGCATAGCCAATGCATTTTCTGTTACACTATTTTGGTATCAACGAATTAGAAACAGTAAAAGAAAGAGCATCTTGAAAAAAACAATGGAGCCAAATTTTTCCTAGTTATCTTTTTCTTTGCTCCGAGCATTTTCAAAGTCATAACTGCAGCGAATTTATTTTATTTTTTTGTCTGGCCTCTACTATAAAATACATGTAATTTGTAAAAAGGATAAGTGAAAAATTTCTTTTAAAGTAAAAACTAAAAAATATTTCAAAATATTTTTTCATTTTGGATATCTGTGAAATAAACAAAACTCATTATTTTTTGTCTCTTCGAATAAATTTATTTTATAAATTGCAAATATTTATAAATATTTTAATATCACATTATTTTATGGCCCTCGAAAATGAACACATTTTAAAAAATTTCTTATGTTGTCAGTTTTGTTTGACAATTTTACTGAACAACTTTAAACAGTATTAATAACAATAAATATAATTATAATACTGATAAACAGTATTAATAACAATAAATAAAACATTATAATTATTAGCAAAATTTTAATTAATATAATGGTTATTACTCGCTGAAGTAGACGGTATATTGTCGTATTCTTCCTTATTCATTAATTGAGCTACACATATTAATTCATTCTGATACAAAATATTTATAATTTACGCTAATATTTTATTTTACTTACTGAATTCAACGGCATCTTCGCTCTATAAAGGGAAATATATTTCATTTCATCATTTCTAGGAAAACTGTAATTATACAAAAAAAAATCATTTAAAATATTTGTTTGTATACCACATTTTATCAAACAAAAACACATTTGCTTAAAAAGAAAACCAGTCATGGTAAAATTATGGCATCCAAATTAATTTTAATTTAAAACAAAACAAAAACATATATTTTCTTTGCAAAATTAGAAATTATGAATTAATCAAACATGTTTCTTTTAATTTTTGAAATGAATAATATTCACATGTTTATAGTGTAAAAAAATTATTTGCTTTTGCAAATGAGAATAACAAATTCTTTTTCAACAATTTTTTTTTCACTTGTTATAATTTTTTTAAAATTTTTATAAAATAATATTCTTTTTTAACACTTATTATTAAATATTTTAAGATTTTTTATTTACAAACTGTACTAGTTTTATAAGTAAAAAAACAAAATCTTCTTTGTTTACTTTTTATATGGAGCGTGATTTTCTAAGATAAAAAACAACAACATTTGGAATTAAATGTTAATTTCAGTTTGACAATGCTCGGAGCGAAGAAAGACTTACCTGAAGTTTTTGGCTTCACTGTTTTTTTTTTCAAGATACGATTTTTTAAGGAGTGTAATTCCTTTAATATTCCGAATTCGTTGTTTGGTGTAATATTTTTGGTTCGTTTTTATCTATATGTTTTAAATTTGAACACAGGATGAGGTGGTACTCATTTATTAAAGTATCTTTTTTGCTTTCTTCTAACAAATTCGCAAATTTTACTTAGTAAAGCCAGTAAAAATCATTTCTTTGGAGATGAAGCAATTTCGTGATTTAATATTAGCACCATTTTAATAGTTTTGTAATATTTAATTAGTGTTTGAGAAATAAATGTATCCATGTTTCAACAAAATGTTCAAATGTAGCCAATTCTGGCATTTTAGCAGATTTTAATATCTTTGTATCCACGATAAATTTAAAGCAAAAAATGTATCCAAATGGATACAATTGTACCGATTGTACATACCACGGCTAACAGAAATATTATTGGCATAATAAAAACATCTGTATTGCTATCAGCCGTTCTATATATAAATGTAATGCATATTTTTCCAACTACGGTTTTTCTAATGTCCAGGTATACATATATACGCAAATCAATTTAAACTATGCAATTAGGATGCTCACACTGTATACTTTTCTAATATCAAGGTATACATACTCAAATCAATTTAAACTCCATACTATAAAATTAATGGGTTTACACCGTTCACTATGGCTCCATGGTTAGCTATAGGACGTATGAATCCTAGACTGATAGTGATGTGTTTTTATGATAAAAGTTTTATGTAAAGCAACATTTTGTATTTTTATGATGATTTTGTCGAAGTAAAAATTATAATAAGTAAAAATTTAAAATTAATTAATTAAAATAATTAAAAAGTAAAAATAAAACTAATAAATGTTTCACTATGTTTCTAAGTTGTATTTTCCAAACTACACACAATCTAAATATTTCAATGGTATATATTTTATATCGTATTCTATTAGTGTTTAAAACATCCGCAACGTGGCGTGAAATTCACTTTAAAGATGTTCAATAATCAATTATGTAGGTTTTTTCCTACTCAAAAAAGGAGGACAATTCCTGCTCCTTTTAGAAGTCGAATATCAATAAAAGATTCCAAATAAAAGCTATTAAGTTAAACAAAAATGTTTGACCTAAATGCTTATAGCGTTTATTCGCTAATTAGTGAATTATGCGTGAAATTAGTAAACGAAAAAAGTTATAAAAAGCATCCTGTATCCCCAGATGTTCGAAAATTGAGAAGCAAGGCATTTGAAATTTTATTGAAAAGGAATAAATACAAAATCGATATTAAGGATAACATTGACCCACTTAAAGAATTGGATATAATTCATTTTGCAACGAAAATCAAAGCGAAGAATAACTACAGAACATCAAATAATTTTGAAAAGTTTGAACAAATATTAAGTTATATTTATAATGATGAGTATTTTTTGAGTGGTTCGGGTAAATCAGTTTTGGTTTTCCTCTTGTTTGTAAAAGACTTTTTGAAATGCAGCCAAAACGAGGTAGTTATTAGTAGGTATTTAAAATCGAGGAATCAAATTTGAAGATTTTTTTAGGATGATCAACGTCAACATCTTTTAGTACCAGGACCATTTACTTTGTATTTGGAGTATAGCAGAAGTTTAAATTACCCTTTCAAAGCAATAAAATATAATTCAAATCAATTGGAACATTTTAAAGGTTTGGCTTCCATAATAGATTGCAACAATCCATATTTACCTGAATTCGTCTTTGAAAAGGCCAATAATTATGCTAAAAGTGAAGGTATAAAACCATTTAAATTGCAATTAGAAGAAAAATATGAAACACCTGTTTCTTACAAGTACTTGAAACCATTTACATTACGTTTAAGTTCAATAGAAAATCAGCAGTATTTGGAAGAGTATCCCCTCGAAAATAATGAAGAAATTTGTCGTGAAAACTCAAACTTAAATAAAAGATTCGGGTGGAATTGGGAGGATTTAGGTAAAATCAATATTAAAATATATATAGCATCATTATGTAGGCTAAAATTTTCCAGGAAAGACAACCATCCAAAATGAAACCAAATTTGGTTCTGAGTTGGAAATTTCAATGCCATTAGAAATATTAATAGATGAAAATTTGAACTCAATTTTTGAAGCAAAAATAATTAATGTTAATACCTTTCTATCAAATCTAAAATCATTGTTGGGTATTTTTTAATTTTATCGTCAATCAATATTTAATTTAATCCATTTGCTTTTTAGTTGGAATTGAATCTGAATCATTTTTTCTTGATAAAAATATTACTTTTTATATGGTTGAAAATTTGACTATCGCGAACGTAGTTCCAAATATTATGCTTAATTTTGTTCAAGAATGTCTTGATTGTGGCACAAGTTATAGAAGGATGCAGATTCTATCATCTAGAAAAAATTTTCAACAAAATTTGGATGGGTTTATATTTAAGGTTGATATTTACTTTTCTTAAAATAAATAATTTACTTTTGTATTTAAAGGCTTTGTGTGGTGCTATCGAAGATTATCTTTTGATGTTTAGGCAATATGTTTTTTCTTACGAAGATTCTAAAATCCTTGAATTTTGTGGCAGAACTGGAAAAATTATAAAACAAATGTTAGCATTGTCTTACATATTAACAATTCATCCAAAAGGTGGTGAATTTACTCAATTTTACACAATTTTATTTAATTACATTTTGTCAATTTACTGTAATAATTTTAGTTAGTGAAAATTGTAAGCCTCCTTCTGGATCTCATTTTCTAGGATATATATACAAAGAAATAATGAGAGTAACTCAATCTGATATGTTAGCCTTGTTAATATTTTTTTTAAAACGTTGCTGTCATGTTTATTTCAAGTAAATATTTGATTTTTAAAAATATTTTGGAGATTCACATTTTACGCTGTTTTTAATTCTATAGAAACCTTCAAAAATGGATATTTCTGGGAAGTTTAGAAGATCGCTTTAATGAACTGTTTATATGTTTTGCTGATCAGTATCATCCAAACACCAAATATTATTTTGATAAAGCATTCTTTATTAAAAAGGAGGCCGTACCTGGTTTTTTTTTAGGATACGAGGAATATATTCTGCAGTGTGGAAAATATACTATGCTGCTCAAAGCGTTCAATCCAAACGTAAGAAAATAGACAAGTATAATATGTCATTTTTATTTGGATTTTTTTTTAAATTCAACAGCATCCAATCTTTTCTTTGCAATATCCCCCAGTAGCAGTTTGTCTTTCATTTGAAGAATTGAGGAAAGTGCAAGAAGCCTGCGAAATATATGAAAGAAGGGCATTAGAATTATGCGAGTCGCCTGTTACGGTTCAAGACATATTCAAAAAAGATATTGAAACAAAACGAAATTTTTTTAAACTAGTTCTTGAGAAATCAAAAAAAAATTTAGAAAATTGGAAATGTGAGTAAATTTGAAAAATTTGAATTCTAAACTTTATTTTTTTTTTATTGTTGGTAGTGGAAAAAAAACAACTTTCGAATGATGATATTTGTAGAAAAAAAAAAGTTTTTGAGGAGTTATCTTTGCAAATTGAACAAAAAAGAATTTACAAAATCCAAGAAAAAATGGAAGATATTGTGATGGAGAGAGAATTAATTAGGAATCAAGAATATCATTCAGATCAAATAAATTTAATTGAGCAGCAAGAAACTTTAAAGCGAATTAGTTGTTTTGAAGAAATCAAAGAAATGACAGAAAATAAGAAACACTGTATCACCTCCCAAAAGTTGGGCCCTACTGATTTCAAAACATTTGAAGAAAATAAATTTGAAGCTGAAATTAAAGTATGCAATCTAAGTAATGAGAAACTTGAGCAATATCAACATCTCAATTTTAACAAAAACCTTAAAAATAGCTTTAATGATGTCGATATTGCTAATTCTAATGAAATTATAGGTAAAATCAGAATTTTATTGAAAAAAGTTCTTTTAAATTTCTCAGAAAACTTAATTCTTCCTTAGGCAAGGAGAGCCCTGATATAAATGAACTATTAACAACAAAAACAGATATCGAGAATAAAAACTTGACAGAAGCACAAAAAAATAAAATAAAAGTTTTAGGTAGTGAATATAATATTTTTGGTACTTACTTGGAGGATGTAAATTCGAACTTTCATAGCAAGTGTATGCAGCCAAATTTTTCTGAACTCAACGATTTACAAAAAAATAAGATGAAATCTATGCAAAGTAATTGTTTTCAGACACGGAGTAATTCAAGAGCAAATTTGGATATTAAAACCGAAAGTCTTCTGAATAAAAAAAAAGTTTTAGAAAACGAATATTTTATTGCTGTGGGCTCATTTATTACACCAGCAAATATTTCGCCAATGTCTACTTCATCCGATTTGTCTTTGGAAGCTAGCGAAGTTACAAAGAATAAAAATATCTCTAAAACCGATATGGAATGCATGATCTTTAATCAGAATATTGAAAACGTTGATCTTGAAAATGAATGTCAACTCAAACAAAATTTTTTGGATGATTGTTTCATTGCACAAGATGATTTAACGAAAAAAAATGAATATGCTTATAATGACGAGTCCTATGCAAGATCCTTGGAGTTAATTAAAAATAATTTCAAGTGTGAACCCAAAACTGGTTTTATACATTTAAAAGATATTTTTCCCCGATTTGAAAAAAGCAATGGCAACACAAATTTTGAAGATATATTAACAAAACAAGTCGATTTAAATAGTCTTAGTGTAATAACGCTTACAGAATTTTTGCAAAAGTCGATTGTTTTACCATTAAGGGTACATTTGAAAATCGTAAACAATGAGGTAATGAGGGTTTTTTTAGTGAATTTGGATTTGATTAATCATTTTAGCAGTTTAAGAAATTATTTTTTTTTAATGGATGGCGAATTTAGTAGCATTATATGCGATGAATTAATAAATAAACTGGAAAAAGGTGCATCACCAGTTGAGATATTTAATTATCAAACATTACATTCAGTTTTAGATAAAGCAATTGGATCTAGTCATTGTAATTTTATATACTTAATTTCAATTAAGAATTAATTTTTATTTTAATTTAAGGTTCGGACAAAAATTCAAGTAAATTGTCCTTTATTGTAAGTGATTTACCTGAACAATTCGATCTAACCTCCCCGTCGGTCTTGTCAAATTTATGTTTAAGTTATAAAATTGACTGGCCCCTGAATTTGATATTAAGCCCAGAAACGCTTGATAAATATGGAGATATCTTTAAATACTTGTTTAAAGTAAGGCGGATAAGTTGGGTTCTTGAGCAATCATACAGAATTATGAAAGAATCAGCAAAATTAATCGGAAAGGAACTTTTAATATCACCGCAATATCGCAGAGTACAGCTAATAAGACACAAATTTTTTCATTTTATTCATGCACTTCGGAATCATATTACTGCAAGCGCTTTGCAAGCCTCATGGAAGGAATTCCAAGATGAGCTTTTAAAAGCTAAATGCATAGAAGAAATCTACAGAAAACACACTAATTACATAAAAAAAATATTATTTTTATGTATGCTAAATAAAAGTAGCATAGATTTTAATAAAGCTATGGAGAGTATTTTTAAAATTACTCTGCGTTTTTACAGGTAAATATCATTTGACAAACACGATAATTAAATAAAATTTATATATTTTTATTTAGGAATCTCAAAAGCAAGGAATGGAAAAGAAAAATTGGAGAAAATTATTATATTCATCCTCGATTTGAAAAACTTCTAATTGATGAAAAAGAATTCGAAAAATTGGTTAAATACGTTATTTATTTGGGTAATAAAATAGTAAAACGCGGCTATCAAGAAGAAATTGGAGAATTTCTTCGCTTAGTTAACTATAATCAATATTATGTAACGGTGAATTCAACACGTTGACAAAAATTTTTATGCACATTTTGCAAATTCTTTGGATTTCACCTTTTTTTTTAACAAAACTACTTTTTAAATTTATTTTAATAAAAATTTATAACAATGCCTAAATTTTGTACACATAGAATCATTTTTTAATTAATGTACTGAAGATTCCACACTTTTTTAGTTCTTCAATCAAATCGCCATTTTGGTGCATTTGCAACAAAATATCACAACCTCCAACAAATTCACCATTGATAAAAATTTGCGGAATAGTTGGCCAGTTTGTATAATCTTTTACGCCTGAAATGAATCTTAGTTAAAACTGAATTTAGATTATGTTTTTATGTATGAAAATATTTAGAATAGTTGCTACAATTCTAATTTTTCGACGTTTTATAACCTTATAGAAATACTTTAACGTTAAAAAATGTTAGGTCGCATTTAAATTTTTAAGAATTTGTTACAGTGGGAATTTTTACGTTTTGCACAGTATGTATATTTAGGTTTTTACTAGTACATAGTAGGAAGGTAATTTTCGGAGTATATTAATATCTAGTAGGTATACGTAGTAGGTATACATATTAATAGATTTGGAGTATATTTGCATATGTACATATGTAAATAGTTTGATGATCTTTCAATATCGCGATTACAATATGATTAAAATTTTCTTCATATTGTGCCTTATACATACATAAGTTTGTAAACCAACCTTTATAAACTGGACATTAGTGTCTTATGTGTAGTAGTTTGTACATAGTGCAAAACCTGTAATACATACCATATAAAACTATTATAGCAACTTCCTAAACTATTAACCTTGCCGAATATCCTCGTCTTCTAGAACATCAATTGCATTATATTCAACTCCATGCATTCTCATTATCTGAACAACAGCATTACTGAAACCGCATTTAGGTGCTTCTGGATTACCTTTCATAAAGACAACAACCTTACTTTCTTTAACAAGTTTGTCGAAAAAACTTTTATTTGACGCTGTTAAACAGTATCTTCGAAATGAATAATTTTTTGTAGATAAATTTATAAAATTTCTTACACTTTGCATTATTATTTTCTTCTTTGCAAAAATTTAATTATAAAACCAATATAGGGTTGGCCATTATGATTTTAATATCAACTAAACATTTTGAAAAACATCGATATATATGCGATGTTTTTTCGGATTTATGGAGTATTTCATATTTTTGGAAATGACACCGAAATTTGAATTTAAATTGTTTTTTTTTCTTTTATTTATTAATTTTTTTTTATTTATTATTAATTTCTATTTTGAAATTTTATGTACAAATAACTGTGAAATATTATATGTAAGTAATATATAATTTTATAATATATTATTATATTATAAGGTGCCGTTTACATATCAAGCAAAGTTTGACGATTTTATTTGATTGGATGAAAATTTGATATGCAAACATTCAATCAAATCAAGCAAAATCGAAAGGGAAAAATAGAGTCTTGTCCAATTCTTATCAATCTTTTTTTCTGAAATAAAAAAATATAATGGCGAGAATAAATTTTTCTCATTTTGTGCGATGTTTTTGATCAGTTGCTAATTGTTATAATTTATTTTTTTTTATAGTTAAATTATTTTTTAAAAAGTTTTTGAAAATTTATAAATGTCTGTATGTATATTTATAAGCAAAATCAATGAAAAATAATTTAATTTTAAATTATTTATTTTTAATTTAATTTAAATTATTTTTCCTTTTATTTAATAAGGATATGAATATGATAAGGAACATTTTTGATATGAATAAAAAAATTAATTTGACAGCTTATGTCATCAAACAAAGATTGATATGCAAACATTTCTTGTGTAATTCCATGGTGGTCAAATTTAATCATCAAATTTTACTTGATAAGACAATGATACCTAAAACTTTATGCTCCCACATTTTGCAATCAAAATAACCAAAAAATAAAAAATGAATGTTACATAATTGAAATTACCTTTATAATCGTTTTTTATTGTCCTTGTAGTATTCCTTATTTTATAGAAATTTCAAGTTTTTGTTTAGCTTCAACTTAGTGTGAAGTGCAATGATCTTGTGTGGACTTTAAGCACCTTAAATTTTTGACAGATAATTTAGTGCGAACTGCGGTGTGTTCTGAAAAAGTTTTATTTTATTTTCTCATACAGCATTATTTCGTCTTTAAAAAAAAGAGAATAAAATTTAACTGTGATGCAGAGGTTTTTTTAAATTTTAAAACACCAGGTTTATTTTAGGTTGATAATTTAGTGCGAGCTGCGGTGTGTTCTGAAAATATTTTATTTTCTCGTACAGCCTTATTTCGTCTTTAAAAAAATTGGAATAAAATTTAAGTGCGATGCAGAGTTTTTTTCAAGTTTTAAAACATCAGGTTTATTTTAGGTTTGGTTTGGTAACTGGTCGGATTTGTGGGCCTTCAAAATAACTATTAAGTTCTTTAAAATCAAATGGGCAGAATAATAATTTTTTGGGAAATGACCATTAAATCATGCTAACCGATATCATTATCCAAACAATTTCGTTAAAATTTACCAAATTAAAAAGAAACCCGTGGATGTAAATACCCTTCAAGAAAAAAGTGGAGTAGATTTGCTATATATTACGGAAGTATCTTTTCTTATGTTTTAGCTGTCACTGTCACATAATCATTTTTATGTCTAAAAAATAAACGCCTCAATACGTACTAAATAGAAAAGAAAGTGGTATTAAAAAAATCATTGAATTTATCATTCATGAAAATATAACGAACAGGCTAATTATTCGCAAAATGGAATATTAAATAGATTCCATCATTGGGGAGCATAAATTATTTTAAATTATCTCACAATTTAAATTTCTAATATTAATTTTACAAGAATATCGGTATTTTAAATAAACTGTACATAGAAGAGTAATAATAAATCTATAAATATTTCAATAAAAACAAGCACTCAAAAGTTATTTTAAACAGTATTTTAAAAACTATGGATGAAGTAAATAGCACAAAATACGGGAAGGAAAAAGCAAACAACAATAGTGAAATTAAAAACATTTACAAAATTCCAGATAATTATTCAACATTACATAGTATGTCTGAAATAAAAAAATGTGTTGAGAAGATTTCTAGCTTACAAAAAGTGTTAAAAGATAGCTCAAGTAATTCTAGATCTTCATTTGATCAAGTAGATAGATCGATAAATATAAATTCAATTGTTCCACAAGGTTTTACCAAAGATACTAATGACATTGTAATAACTACTGAGCAAAATGCAGATGGAAAACATTTTTTAGAAATTTTAAAATCAGAACAAAATAGATTAATTGAAAAGGCAGAAGAATTGGAAGCTGATATTATTATTTTGTCTCAGGACGAGAAAAAATATGAAGAAGTTTTAGGGTTGCTTAGATCAGCGTCTGGAAAATCTAGATTGTTGGTATCGCAAAAAATGACGCAATTTGAAGGTTTATGTCACAATAATATTAACCAAGCTCCTAGTGAAAAATTTCAAACCACCAATGAAGACTTGCAAGGTTTTTGGGATATGGTAAAGTTACAAATTGATCATGTTGATTCATTATTCAAAGAAATTCAAACACTTAAAAATAATAAGTGGATATTAAAGACAAACTCAATTTCTGAAGAAGATGATAATACGAACTTAGTAAAGTTATCCACTAAAAAGTCAACAAAATCACAAGGTCTTCGGGCAAAAAAATCAGATAAATTGCTTCAGGACATTAATGGAACTAAAAAAGAAGATGCTCGTCGTAAGGAATTACTGGAATTAAAACGTAGGGCAAAAAATGCAATGCAAAACCAAGAAACCCAGAAACCAAGTGATTCTAACACGCTTGAGTTTTTCTTTTAGTACGGTGTGCTTCTGGAAAATAAAAAAAAAACAAGTGTCCTATTTAACTTTCGAAACGAGATTAGAAATAGAATTTTTCGCTGGTTAAACAGTATTTGATTTTTATTTTATGCGAATTTGTATTTTCGTTTCAATGTCCGGTATATACACTTAATTTTTTATGGTAATCCAATAAAATTTTGATAAAATTTGTATTTGAACCGATAAAAATTGAAAGGCAACCATATTTATTTTATAATTACTTTTGTTTTGAAAAACTAAGTTAATTTATTATGTATTTTAATTTATTATACTAACCAATACTTCCCTTTTATATTAAAATTTTCTATTAAAAATAATTTTTGTTCTAATAAAATATTGGTTGAAATATTAATCAAGTAATATTTCACCATAAAAAAATAGATTTTTAAATACTTATGTTATTTTAATTAAATACAATGTTTTAAATTAATTAATGAAAACTTTTATTTAGTACGTGTACTAGGTGGGAAATGCCCTCTGTTCACAACGCTTACCGTTCTTCTAACATTGGAGAACTGTTCTTCATAATAAAATTTTAACATACACGCCTACTTACTATGTCGCTTATATGTAATGTGTACATAATATGCATGCGGCTTTTTATCTAAATATTAAAATAAAACGGCGTTTATGTCAGACCTTTATTATGCCAGATAATACACTGAATTTTCGAAAATTCTGTCCAGAACATACATATACTTCAGTGCATCTATTTTGTTCTGGGAAGCAGTTCACCTTGAAAATGTACAATATGAAAAAAATACATCTTACAAACCAAGCTACAAAATCATCGTTGAAAGAGTACCAAACCAAACATATTTAACCAATAACTCCAAGGTTGCCAATCAATAACTATAAAGTTTGTAAATTTCCGTTTAGTCAAAAACCTCCTAGTCAAAATTAATAAGTACCCGTAACCCACCTGTACATGTTCTTGTTTTTCAGAAAACTAAAAAAATATTTTAAAACTAAAAATATTTACAGTGAATTGAAATAAATTTGTTTATACATGCAAACATTTTAGCAAATATATTTTGAACCTAAAGTAAAAGAATTCACAGTTTTAAAATTACTGTGAATATGAATGAACATAAATTTTTTCACAAATTTTGTCCACAAATCTTTTTAAGAATCCGCGTTCTGCATAGTTTTTTATAATGTATTGAATGCTTGAATGAGCTTTCCAATTATAGATGCGATTTCCTTCAATGTATCCAAATCTTATTTTATAAAAATTTAAATAGCCAGTTACCGGATTGCCTTCATTTAAGTTTATATTATTGAATTTGTATGTTTGTATGTTTCTGTGAATTTCTCTTACGAATCTTCTTTTAATTTCTTTTATAACATTTAAATTTTCTACTGTTGTTGTGTTATCCATTTAATGTAAGCATTTTAAAAATTCAAAACTGTTCTTTGTTATACAAATTCCTATTTTCCTAACCCGTTTTACTTCATTTCAAAGTTCCTTCACTCTTATTGTTACTGATCTCTTGCATTTGGCTTTAATAGAATCCTAAACGTATTATTTTAATCACCATATCTTTGCAAAAATTAAGTGAAAAACTTTTTCAGGGCAAGTGGAAAACAAATTACAAGAAATTTTAAACCCTTTTAAAGGAAAACAAAAGAACTTTAAAGATAAAATATTTTAAAAGCTTTGAAATCCAACTCATTTTAGTTTTAGCCCTAACTGCCTATAAACAATTAGCTTACGAATACTTTTGTTTGGAAGAATGATTAAGAGAATAATTTATTAATTTAATATAAAACAAGAAATTATGATATAAACTTTTTATTTCTCGAATTACTCAGGGTCTTTTTACAAAAAGATATTATTATCGGCATGTCTCAAAACAATTTCATCTCTTATTTCTTAGTTTTATTGAAGTTTTTTCCTAATTTTAATACAAAGTTTGGATATTTTCATTTCTCTTATTATTACATTCATCAGAAAGTAAGTTTATCTAATATCCTACATACTAAAAAATCCCACATTAAAAAGCTTAACTGTTGGAACCAAATTAAATTTTTAAATAAAGAAATAAAATGGTGCTGTATAACGAATGTACATTGCTTTAAAGAGTATTTATGTTCATATACACAATTTGCTAAGAAATTTTCTACCTAAAAGTATTTTCAATATTATCAAAGAGTTCAGTTTTATGTCAGCAAAAAAAGAAATTTTTGTTTTTTTTTTATGTTACAGAAAATTTTTTATTTATAACATTAAATTTTGGCACTTATTTTTTTATATTAATGTAGATTAATCCTTAAAATAATATTTTCATAATTTTAAATGCTTTTACATTGCGTATTTAAATTTATATTAGTTATTTTATTTTAAGCAGGCATTTCATAGTGTCGTATTTCTACAGTTTTCTTTATTTCTGTTTTTAAATTGACATAATAGAAATAATGTTAAGTTATTATTGAATTTAATTTTGCATAACTATGATGAATGATATTACGTGTCTATTATATATATATATATATAAAGATATATTTATATATATATATATATATATATATATATATATATATATATGTAGTTATTCATTAATAGTTTAGTGCTTCAATTATTTTTTGTATTTAAGCTAAAAATTACCAAATAAAAATAGTTTTTAATACATTTACATACAATTTGTTCGTAACTTAATTCGATTTTTTTTTACATTTTTTTTACAAATTAACTATGTAGATATTCGTTTTCTGTTTTAAAATAAATCAACGATTATAAAATGTAGTCGAATTATAACAGAAATTAAATAACACCTTAAAATGAATTTTCATTGATTTAAAAATGACTAATTTTAAAAATTGTTATTTAGTATAGTTGCATTAAAAACACATACACATAATTAATAATAAAAATTTATGGCAAATTATAAAAAACTAAACTACTGGTGGTTCTGGACCTTCTAAATCATCAAAATCGTCACTAAAATAAAAAAGAATAGTAAATAAGATAAATAATTAAAAAAAATCACATTAAACTAAAAATTCAAATAAAAACAAGTATTAAAATTAAAAACCAAAATTAAAAATACACGCATTTATAAAATACAAATATACAATGTTTAACATTTTAAAATCTTATAGCTATTAGGTTTGTTTGTCTACCGAAAATTAACTTAAATTTTGGAAAATTTTAAGTTAACTTTTGCATGAAAGCGATGATTTTGAATCGAGACAATTTTAAAATAAGAGAAAAAAAATTATATTTTTGAATTAAGTACAAATTTTTTAATATTATTCCAAACAATTATAATAAAGCAGTTCATATACGCATACTTTAAAAAAATTCGCAAAATTTTTATAAATGTTATTAAATATTTTTCATCGTTGATCAATTGCAAAACCATATTTTAGTCATTTCAAAAGTTTAATGACTTAAATTGAATATAAACTATCATTATTAAGTCCAATTATCGGATATAGTATTCCATATTCCATAAAGTAAACTTATAATTTAAGCTCACCAAATACAATTGAAATAATTTTGGAAAAGTTATAACAAGAAAAGGGAAACATACAAATATACTAGGCTCGTACGCTAAATCTTACAACACTTGTAAATTAAAAAGGCAATATTTTTTTCCCACTTTGATGTCAACAACAGAAATTATTTTATTGTTTATAAGTTAGTTTTTGTCTTTCGAAAAAATTCGATGGTTTTATAAAGATATTAAATGCTTGTATTCCATATAAATTAAAGGAGAAAATTAAATAATTTTTTACAAAACATTGTGTTAACATTTTGTAAAATAAAAGCAAACAAGTACAAGAAAATATTTTTCTCAAGAACAAAAAAACCCTGACATGTTTTTTACTTTGTTGAAATAAGTAAAGCAAAAAAACATATATTTATATGAAAAAAAAAATTATTTTATTACTTTATATGAAAAAAAATTAAATTCATAATTTGTTAATTAATACATAAATAATTTTTTCTATGCGTCGCCTCATAATTTTGAGTACAAAATATGCATTTACGTGGAAATGGGGAAGCGAATATTAGCCATTTATATAATCTAATCTGTGTAATTTTGTATCCTGCATCTAAATTAGAATTGCTAAATTTTTTTTAGTATAATGCATGTACGTGTTTGTTTTTACAGAAGTTTGAATTTGTTTTTTGTATTTTCTGTATGCTTTTTAATAAAAAAAAAAATGCAATCAAAAACTAGATTTTAAAATTTTTTATATTAAAAGCACAAATTGAAACAAATTTTTTCAAAGAAGAGGAGGAATTTCTATAGAAATTTACAATATTTTGATTTCTTCTAAAAATTCGTCTTCGTAGAGTTTTTGGTATGTTTTGATTTCATCCCAACTTTTTTTTACGGTCGATTTATTTTATTTTTAATAAATAATAATCTGAATTATTGACTTTATTAAAGATATGAACGTACATACATACATTATTTTGGTATGTATGTATATTGGTCAAACAACAAAAAAGCTTTTCATAAGAAATCAAAAACCAGATTTAGGTTGACGAAATAAGCAACAATTTAAATTTAACTTTTTTATTTTCAAAATAATACAATCAAAAAAATTATTTTATACCAATGTTTCATTAACAATTATTGTTTAATAATGCAATAAATATACAAAAATATACAAACATATAAATGTATTTGAAATAAAAAACCGCAATTTGAAAAAAGATATTAAAAGAAAACTTTGAATATTCAATTGGAATATTCTTCCATACGTAAGAATATACTATACACACATATATAATGTGTATGTATTTAATCAATACGGTTACTTGGTAACTATAAGAGAGCATATTATGATTTATAAAAAAATGTATAAAGTTTGTATAAAAGAAAATAAATTTTCACCGTCCTTTTGTGTTTTAAGTAATTTACATTTAAAAATATTTAAAAAGATTTTATATACATAAATAAATTTTGGAGTTTTATTTTGATATTTGCAAGGAAAAATAGACAAAAGAGGAAAGATTTTATTTAAAATAAATTTTATTAAAAAGATATTTGCTAAAATTTTGAAAAATTTTCATAGGGTAAATTCAGAGTTTGGTGAATTTACAAGCATGTGAATTTACAAGCATCTTCCTTCTATCACAAAAGTTTCCTGAAAACCTCTTTATATTGTGCTTGCTTACAAATCTGAACAAATTTAAGTTAGAAAAAAATCATAGAATAGAAATAATAATTTGTTGCTATTGGTTATATTTTTGTATATACATATGTATAACTAATATTGCTTAAATGATCTGCAAAAGTAAAATTTTTAATTATTCAAGATCCGGTATAATTATGTAAAGAAATATTTGTAGAGGTTTACAAAAACGGAGCAATTAAATGCCTTTAATTGTTCACTTCTCTGATAATATACGAAAATAAAAATAACAAAATATTAAGCAAACAAAAACGATCTATGTACATACTTCTTCAATAGCTTATTTCAAACTAACAAATAATTTCAATAGAAAATAAATTGAAACATACAATACGAAGTTGACCCAATTGAAGCAGTTCGGAAAAATTTTGTAATGCGTTTGCGGAGGGCTTATACTTACCAGGGCAATACAATATTTAAAAAAAATATATTTTAGTATTTAGTAATTTGAAGTGCAAAAAAAAAATTTTGATTTATTTAGGCGATTTTAACGACATGATTCCTAAGTTTTTTTTTTGGAATTTGAATTATTTATTTAAAAATTAATTATATGTATTTTGTTTGGGTATTAGTATTTAGTAACCTTAGAACTGTGAACATTGTTCCACATTTTTAATTCAGTTGTCAATTCATATTTATATTTTTAGTTTTATCTATATCTATATTTTTATGGTTGTCTACATTATTGCCTTAATATATTAATTATATTTTTGTAAAATTCAATAGTTTTTAAATTTAAAACAGTGGGAAAATATTACCTAATGATATTTGGAGGAATACATTTGCTAATAAAGTATTGATATAAGAAAACAATCTTATATCGAAACATAGCATATTTCGAAATTAAATTTAACTTTTTTTTAACTTAATTTGAAATGCATACATACAAACATTAAATTATGTATTTCAAAATAATAAAACACATTTTAAATATGTATATTATATATAAAGATATTTTATAACAAAATGTAAAAATATTTTATCCTTTGTACATCTTGTTTAATTTAGCAAAAATTATTGTGTGAAAATTATTAATTGTGCTTTTTTACTCAAATTTATAAAAAATATATGTAAATAGATTAACGTTTTCACTTTAAAGCGTATGGTATAAATTTTCCTTCGCTAAAATATTTATACCTAAATAATTTCTTATTTTTTATATAATATTGCTGTTTTCAATTTAGGTGTACATATGCAAGTAAATTTATAAAACAACTAAGTAAGATTTATTGCGCTCCAATTTTATCTTATGAAGAAAATGAAATTTTTACTTATCAGAATAACATAAAATGATATATAACAAAGTATGATACACGAGTTAAAGTTAATGTTGCATGTTTTATTATGCTGGTAATCTCTAAAAGTAGGATGATGTTGTGGATATATTATATGAACTGGCGGTGGTTCTTCTATTTTATCAAAACTATTTGGATCAAAGTGAGTCCCAAAATCAGATTTTAGGATATCATAGTCTATATTTACCAAATTCCATGGAATCCAACTAATGTTTGTTAGCATTTTAACGAAAAAAATTGATTTATATTTTAACATAATTTAAAAAAAAAATTATAAAATTTTTACAAATTCTAAAAGAGTTTACACTCTTATTCTGGACTGTGTGGAAGTACTCCGTTTTCATATATGGGATTTTAAAAGGCATTTTGCAAGGACCGCAATCAAGCGTTTTTTGTGTGGGTAAGTTTTTTTTACTTTTAAATTATATTAGTACAGATTACAATTATACTAAAAAGTTATAATAATAAGTTAACGGTCATGATGAACTCTCGATCTAATATATTTTTACTTTTTTTCAATATTTTGCAAATTGAGATGCAATTCTATTTATAAATTCCACACGCCTTCTAGGATAAAAGTGCTATTCTTTTACAACAAACTTAAGAATTTATGTTTTCATTCGGTACCTCTTCTTTTTACTAATCGAGTCAGAAAAAGTCATTCATTATTACGAGTATATAATAATACGAGTATCTAATGGGAAAAATGGAAAATCTGAAAAATCAGTCACTATGGCACCATTTTGTTTGGGAAAGTGACAAAATTATTCGAAATTCTAAAATTTTGATTAATTAAAAAAAAAAAAATAAGAAAACTCATTTAAAAATTGAGAAATTTTATGAAGTGATAATCTTGGCAAGTGACTGGAAAACTGAGATACAGAATGAGGATATTATTTTTTTTTTTTTAATTTTCGAAGTTTTGATTTTATTAATTAATGTAATACTGACCTTGGGCATACGTCCACATTTAGAGCGCTAACAGCGTGTTGACCTAAGTTTACAGGGCCGCCCTCATCGGTCTCAACAACTCGAACACAACCAACAAATCCGGTTGGATAACGGTTTCCTGTAAATTCACCTAAATTAGGTGCCCCACCTAAAAACATATTTTTTACTTTTTAAACGGTTTTCAGTGAAGGTAGAAAGAAAAATAAGTAACCTATGAAAACGTTGCCTGGCAGTATCATTGTATTCCTAAGAGTAGGCCTCTTTGTTTCTCCGTGCTCAATTAAATGATCTAGTTCTAAACTAACTTCGTTTCCATACCGCTTTATAATGGCAATGTGCCTACTTCCATCATCAACTTTTGTGTAAGCACTTTGTACAGTGTTTTCTTCGCCATCTAAACGGAAAGAAAATTCGAGTATACCTTCGTTTATAGCTAAAGCTATAAAGTCTTGTCCGTTGTATTGCATGTCCTTAGGTTGGCCCCACCATACAAGCAAACCATTTGGGTGCTTGGTAGAAAATAACATAGCTATAAAAGATTCAAGCTGATGTTCCTTTTCGCTGAATACACTTCTATTCAGTTCCAAGTACCCATCACCATTGAATTGACAGTTCGTATCCAATTGAACATCTAAAATTTTTTTTATTTGTTTTTTAAATTCATATTTATTTGCGCCAAAACTTACGTTCGTGACAATTATTTCCTGAATATCCTAACGGACAGTGGCATTTGTAATTATTCCCGGGTAAAAGAATGCATGTTCCATAATTTTCACAAGGATCACTTACGCATGCGTTTTGTTTGTTAATTTCGTCATTATTTGGTCGACCGGGTGTAATTTGGTGAGTGGGAGGTTGGTAAAATATTTCGTTGTTATCACCACAATTCTGAATATTTGCTGCATCAAGTAAGTCAGCAATCAAATTTATTTTACGGCTTGATTCTTCAAGCTAGAAAATGTTGATTTTTTATTTAAACGATAATGTAAGTTTTTGTTTTTGATAATACATATGCACAACTCATTGTCATTATTGTATAAGAAATTTTATGAAAAATAATTAAATAAGAAATAATTAAAAAAGAAATAATTTGATAATGAAAATATACACGTGAATTTATATACACAAAATTTATAATGCTACATTTTATGTACATACATACATATATAAAAGTATACATGTGCATGTTTTTAATATGAATCGTCCTAATTCACTCACCATAGAAATGCATCCATCAAAGCCTCTATGAATATCAATATCTCTGTTTAAAAGAATTCTCTTGTCGTAACCACCAATAAACAAATGAGTTTTCAAATATAAGCTACGCGCTGGTCCAGCCTGTTTACCAGTTTGCTCTAATTCATTGCCAACTTTGAGAATTCCTTCACCGACTCGTCTACCTACCTCAACTTCAGTCCATTTGTTAGCTTCAATTTCATTTTGTGAAGTAACAATAACAGGTTTTACTCCTGAGTAAAATATAAAGCAATGTAAGGACTTCTGTTAAGATTTATTAAACTAAAATACATACGGGCTCCGGTATTGATTCTTAATTCGATCCGTTTATTTTTCAACAAAACCGCAAAGAAATCTCCGTTTGCGCGTTCAGATTCCGCAACGTATAAAATAACAGAATCTTCTAAATTATTTGGCTTAACACTAAATTTGATATTTAATTTAGATGGCCTTGGTGTCCTATGAAAATAAGAAATCAGTTTAAAATATATTAAATCTGTACAATTTGATTTACTTATATGCCGCATAGCTTCCATCTTTGAAAGATAACACTGAACCGTCCAAATGTTCATTATATTGGCATCTGTCACCCGTTTTATTTAAAGGACAAAAGCAAGCAATACCGAAATCAGTGTCCTGGCATCTGCCTGGACCGCAAATTCCAGGTGTACATTTATCGCCTACAATAGCACAAGTTTTTCCAGTAAAACCGTCATCGCAAACACACAAATATCCTGTCGCTGTTTGACTTTCCAAACATATTCCACCATTTTCACAAGGTTTATCTGCACACGGTTGACATGAAGTTATCCCTTCCTTTAGTTTCGCTTCTTTTATAAGTTCAACTGGTCTGTCTTGCAAAACTAATTGACTTATACAACCAACAAAACCAGTTTTAGTTTCAGTTGCGTTCGGGGCTAAGTCTTCCCATTTCGGTACAGCTCCGATATACAAATCCTCTACTAGATCAAGTCCTGCGGTTTGTACGGGTGGAAACGCTATTGGAGTTTGTTCGTCTACAATAAGATAACCATCTCGTCTTATTCGGCTGACTTTTATACTATGCCATTCATTCAAAGAAATTGGTTTTTCAGATTTAACGATTGTTGGTTTTGTTCCAAAATCAAATCGAAATTCGGGATAGCGATCATTTAATGATAATGAAATATAATCACCGCTTGCTTTTTTTTGACCATTGTATAATATTAGACCATTCGGTTGCGCGGGTTTAAACGTTATCTCAAAATTAAATTTCATGTAAGGCGACTCAAGGGTAGGAAATGACATATAACTTAGTGGATTTTGTGAAAATTGAGGTATTGAGCCTGTAACTACTAGGATAATTGGTTGATCAATTGATTCTCCATTTTGTGTTAGTGTGCATATATAAGTTCCAGCATCACTTGCTTGCACATTGTTCAGTTTTATTTCCATCTAAAGAGTATTTTAATATTATTTGCAAAATTAATTAAAAAAAACTTATACTGAGTGTATATCTGTGCCATGTTTAATATGCCCATGTTGTCGTGACCATCTTACGCTTAAAGGATAGTTGTCCGCGTCACATTTGAGAATAGCATTTGATTCCACTTTGGCATGCTGCGTTCTGGGTCTCCTCCTTGGTCTTAATTCTTCTTCTGATGAATCAAATAAATTTAACAATGATAATAAATTATATAGTTGCTAAAGTAAGAAAAATAACTTTTAATTTTTACAATTTTTGTAATTTATGTGAAAGTTCAAGCGACAAGTTGGCGTAACCAACAACAATTAGGAATATGTCTCAAAACAAGCCATAACCAACGAGCCGATAATTCAGGTTGTTGCAATAAATAAGTTGAGTTTACAAGCATTTTTAAATTTCGAATTTTTAAAATGCTTTTTTTGTGCAATTAATTGTAAATGTAGGTTATGTCACAATGCTTCTCAGCACCTCATAATATTTTAGAAAATAGACGTTTGCAAGTAAACTATTAAATAAAAGACCCCACAGTTGAAAATATTCCCCAACTATGGTGAATAATATAAATTTAATACAAATTAATAATTAGTCAATATTAATAAATCTACGGCTGTGGTTGCGGCAAACACTAAATGATAGTACTTTATTTCATGTTTGGTAATTTATTTAATATCAAATTGGATTATCTATAAAACTCAGAAACAGCAGAATTTAATGAACCAACTTAAAAATATGTTTAAGTGATTGGACTCCCTTTTTATGGGGAGGCTTTCCATGGAGATTCTATGTTGCGCATATGTCAAAATATCAGATATCTGTTACAAAGAGACTTTGAAGTTTTGGCACCCTATTATTGTGGGAGTGTATAGTGAGAGTGTGAATTTTAAAGGTTGTTTAATTAATATTTCAGGTTCAGGAAATTGCATGTTTGTTTGTAAGTGTATCAAAAGAAAACTCGGAAAAAATATAATCTTGTCATGATATACATTAGGACTGAGTCATACAGTAGGTGATGTCATACAGTAGGTGAGTTCTATGGCGTTGCAGCAAAGAGATAAAAGAAAATGAGAAGGTTTTCGTGTCGAACTTGTCATTGTCATTGAAGATTTTATAATTACTGTGGTTGTCATATATGTATACAAAAAAAATCATCAGCCCACAAGCGTTGAATGTTTTTAGGTTCATGAAATAGAGTAAAGTCCATGTTACTACTGACTTTTAAAAACTTAATAAAAATTAAATACCTTCAATTCTCAATTCAAAACTGGTTGTGTATAAATCGCCTTCATCTGTTTTGCATTTACAAACATAACTGCCAGCTGAATTTTGATCAACATTTTGAGCGATTAATTTGTTTCCGATTTGCTTAATTTAAAAGGAAATGTGAACAATTACAATTTATAAAAACATTTTATAAATTTAAACTTACTTTAACATTTCTGGGTAGTGGTCGACCGTCAGCTCTTTCCCAAATAACAACTGGATATCTTTTGTCAAATGATTGGCATTCCACTTCGGTTGATTCCCCTACTTTTAAGTAAGCTTCCTGCTGATCCAATTTCAAAATTGGTAAAGTATGCACGTTTTCAGGTCTAGTAGCTGCATGTGAAAAAAAACAATATTAACACAGTTTTATGGTAATTTTGATAGGTTGTACACAAATTTTTTTAACTAATAAAGTTATAAAATTATTTTTAGTAGTGATTGCAATTATTACAGTTTTTATTTTACCAACAATTATTTTATACTTATAACAATATGAACATGCTCAAAATCAATAACATGCTATAAAAAAAATTATCCAATTTCTTTTTACAACAATTCAAAAAGTATATACATACATCAACATACATTAACTTAAGACTTATAAAAATAGTAACGATTAATATACTATTATTTATTAATTTTTAGTTTCAATAATGAGTTTTGAAACATAAAAAAATACAAAAGGCCTCGATTAACAATAAATCAAAGTCTTGGTGTTAAATAAAAAAACTGAATAATGCTTTTTGATATTGTATTTATTTTCAAATTAGATTATATACCTGTATGTATTTATGTATTATTTTGGTGTGAATTAAGTGCGTGGAAATTGTAAATATTCTTGTTCTATTATCACGAAAAACACGATAAGAATTAATATTCGATCGATTAGATTAATATTAAGAATTGGGCTTTAATTTCTAAATACATATGCACAAAGCCTTACCTGTCTGTATTGAAAATGTCATTTTTTTTTATTTATTTCAAATGATACATATTCTAATTTAAACCATAGTAATTTGAGAGAACTGTAATTTATTAAAGCGAATATGTAGAATATAACGTGATCCATTCCGCAATAAAGATTTTACTACTGCAGCTTTCAAAAAAAATTAAGGATGTTCTAAAGCAGTTTTTTTCCAAGTTGGTGAAAATGTAAATCTTGTCTGATGAGATCGAAATTGGTTTATGTGCAATAAGGTATTGTTAAACTACTTTTATTATATTAAAGGAAGGAAGTATAATTATATAAAAATCAAAGACAAAATTTGTTTAATTTTTTGTAACGGTCATTCCTACATAAAACGGTGTAAATACCTTAATTAGATAATTAAATCTATGGTGAAAGTTATGTTTTTTGCTAATAAAATTTGAGAAAAGCTTTAATCTTTACATAGACTGTAAATTGTTTTTTGATAATATTTACATATTGAGCTTAAAAATTAATTTTAAAACAAAATAATTTTAACAAACCGCTTTTTTTATTTTTACTTAGTTGATCCGGTCTCCACCTTTTGTGCCGACTATTCACCTTCTTGATATTTTTTTTATGGCTAATTTCAAATGTAGTTGTTTTGCTTTTTTTAGTTACTGCTAAAATTTTTTGAGGTTTATTACGACGATTGCATTCTAATTCATCTGAATGGTCAATACAATCGTATATACCATCGCATATTCTATTTGGGTGTATACATGTTCGTGGATGTGACTTACATTTAAAATCATAAGAGTTGCAGGTATAACCTGATGGCGTAATGACCATAGAAGTTTCGTAGTCTTTTTAACATATTTTGATTTTATTTAAGATTTCCATAAATATATCAGACCAAAAATTTGCAAAGTTTAAATAAAAAAAATAGCAAGATATACGAGAATAGTTTTTTCCAAAGAACATAAAATAATCGAAAAATGGAATTATGAAAACAAATAAAATAAGAATTAATTACATTATATATAGAGAAATTTTAAAAAGTGTTTTATTTGAATTAATTTTACATGAGTGCAGTACGAATTTTTGCTGGTTATAAAGACAACAACATATCCAATATTAGACTAACTAAATTTCTTCCTACGAACAATTTTTGTTTAGATGTAACGAAACATTTTTACATGTGAAACAATGACTCCAACTATAGATGTAATAGATTTGAAATACTAGAACATATGTATGTATAAAATGGAATTTTGCTCGTTAAATTTTTATTTTATTCTTTAATTATTTTAATTTTTTTTTTGAATTTCCAGAACCCACTTTGTGCAGTTTTTTTCGATTTTGGTTGTTATTTTCTTAGTAAAGTGTAAGATTGTAAATTTACTTAAATTGGCAGCTTGTGAGAGGGTATGTTTTTTAATTATTATATACAAATTAATGGATAAATATTATGATTTATAATTCGTTTTTTCCATAAATGAATACCAAGTAAAACTTATTTCAGCATTTGCAATACTTCAGGTGAAAGTTTTTTTTGTAAAGAGTTTTTTTGTTGTTATTTTTTGGCGCTGTGATTTTAAATATTAAGGCTAAAATTAATTGATGTGTTAATTTCTTATTATTTAACTGTTTTAAACTAATTATCGTGTCAGTTTACTTCTATGATGGATTCTTTACGAAAGTGAATCGATCAGCCTTATGAAAGGGTCACCTATCAAAGTTTCAGTAATGCTGTATTATTACATAATCAGTGATATAGTGTTACTGCAACTTGGATGTCTGGGTGCGTATGTACTTAAGAATAAACATACATATGCTATTATGTAATTTTTATGTAATTTTTGTAAAATTTATTTAAAGTAATATAGAAATATTTTTGAGAGTAATGGCAAATATAATATAAATAAATAGATGTAAATTCCCATACAAAAATCTTTTACAAGAAATTTTTGTAAAAATGTTAATCATGTAAATATTATATGTGAATATCTTTCTGTAAATACTTCTTTGCTTTTCAGCAAAATTACATTGTGTCGTATATATTGAACATTAAAAATTTTGTTTGGAAGTTTACATATTTGTTTATATCATATTTAATTATGGTAGGTTTTTAACTTCAACTGTTTAAAAATTGTGATTTAACTGAAAATATGAAAGATTAAAACCTAATTTTTAATTTTTAATTAAATTGTAAGTAACAATATAAATACCAAGGCACTAATTAAAAAAAAAGCAAAACCAGTTTTGAAAATCCACTACTTACATATTTACGTAAAGACGGAGTAAATACAAATTGGGATTGAGTTGAATAAACTGAGTGTCTTTATGATATAATTTTCGATGTTTACTTAAATATTTATTTATTTAATATGTATGTATCCAAATTTAGAGACTGTGTGCTGAACTGAATGAATTGAAACTTTAATTAAGAGCTAAGATTTCGCTGAATACCATTCAACTATGGAAAAATCTATCCCGTTCTTTTAAAACATCTTGATTGCTTAGTTACATTTTTGACAATGTCGATTGTGATCATACGAATTGTCATGGGAAATTTTTAAATTCGGTAATTCAGCACGATTAAAGAATTTTCATCAGAATTACGAGAGCCGAAACTCTAAGAAAAAATATATATCTATATATACATGCCCATATTTAAAGCAGAAAGAAAGGAGGTATTCATTTTGTAGTCAACTTTTCTACTGTAGATTCTGTTATTGCCAATTTGTATTGAAATATACTCTCATTTATTAAAAATGTTTAGCTTCCTATCTAGTAATTTAATGAAAATTAAGTACGTTAAATTGAGTGACTTTTTGAAAGCCAAGTAATTTTCTTTTTTTTCGATCACTTGTTTTGATTATTACTTATTCCTAACCAATACATCAAGTAACAGACCGCTTTCAAATGTATCTAATACATTCTTTTAGCTCTGTTTACTTCTACATAAATTTCTATATAAATTTCTTTATTTCTGCAACTTAAATACTATTTTTTAATTAAATTTTGAAAACAATTTCACGGGATTTAATAATGTGTGCGCTTATAAAACTTTTAATTTTCCTAAAAAACACATGTATTCAACTCGATCGACAATTCGATTTAAAAAAAACATTCTACACGTACATGAAGTTAGAATATTCTACAATAATTGGTTGGGTATACTATTACAACAAAATTTTATAAAGTAGCAAATAATCTATTTTTGTAGCTACATACAAGATATTTTATTTTATTGAGGACATAAAAATTAATATAAATTGATAATATTGAAAAAAACACACCTGTACAGATATAGAATATCATGCAATAAATCTCACTTTTGCTGCTACGTCCTGTTAAATTATTTGATAATATTTCTTTAATGTAGTAGTAAAGTATTTTTGAAGATTAATTTATATTTGCAAATACATATGAAACTTACATATATATGAAACATAAAAAAATTTAATAATTTTTAAAGAAAAATCTATATAATTAGGTAATACTTTTTTAACATTGTATTATAATTTTATTGTGACTAGACTTTTATTGAATAAAATATTGTAGCATATTCTGATAATTTATGTATGTACATTTATATTTTAAGATTTTTTACACATTTAGTTTCTTTCTATTAAAATGATTTATAATAAATCAAAGGTTCTAATTAAGTAAATTTTTTAAATTTTTTGGAATGATGTATAATTTTTAAGTAATTAGTTTACCAAACAAATTTTTGAGTTACTTTAATGTTACTAATAGTGTTATTTCCTAGTGTGAAATTAAAAGTGTCATGCTTGATATCATTCATTGATATAATATGTAAAAAATTTTAAAGAATCACAATCAAAACTTAAAAATTAATTTTTATTTTTTGTAAATACTTCGTCACCTAAATATAACGAAAGAAAAAATATATTACGAACAGGAAACAAAAAACAAAAGCTAAAAAAAGTAAAAGCGCCTAAAACGAAAAAATTTAACTTTTATTCCTTTTGCGAATATTTTTTTAGTATATACATACATATACGTATATGTCATGTATGTATATACACATACTTTTATTATTTTTACAATTAAATTTTTTCTTTCGTTTCTTAAAAAGATAGATGTGGCCCATGCCAGTTAATCTAAAAATGTTAAAATTTTTAGATTTAACATAAATTTTTGTATGCATTCAAATGTTTTATACATATATTTAATACCATTTGTACAAGAACAATGTTTGTAGAAGCTTAATACAAGTTTTATAAAATTTTTTAAAGTTAGTGCAAAAATGAGACATATATGTTGATTTATATTTATATTATAACGCTTTATTTAGACATATATGTTGATTTATGTTTATATTAAGGTATATATACTTGTTATTGTATATTAGATGTGTTTTAGATGTATATTAGATGTAGTTTTCAGAATAAAATCAGATTTGATATTTGCGATTTTATTTTGAAAATTTTTAATATCTATTTTATATTAAATTTTTGAAAATAAAACAAAAAAGCAAATAAAACTGGAATTGTTAGCAGATAATTTAAAAAAAATTCGAAGGAGATTTGAACTCAAATACTCAAAACCTTCGAGCCTTTTGAACAATATTTCAAGCAATATATTAGAAATAATATTCTAATATCTACATATATGTGTTGTAATATGTATTTGTATGTAAAATGTGCATATTGCAATTAAATAAGCAAAAGTGTTAAGTTATCAGAAATTTTTTTTGCATAGATGATTAAATTGAGTCAAAGAGCATAAGTGCATTAATATTCACGGTTTTTCATTATTACGAATGAACTTATGTCATATAAATGAAGCACATGCATAAGAAATACAAATAGTTTTTTAATGACTTTTTAAAAATAGAAATATTTTAAAAAATTTACAACTAGTTTATTTAATAATTCGTTTATTTTGAATTGACGTAAGTTTGAAATTTCAAAACTCTTTTTTTCCTCCAGTGAATGAAAGTTATATGGTCTTAAAAAGGAATGCATATTAAATAAGACACATAATCATTTAACCAAATTTTTGAATTGCTTTGATTGATAATTTTCTTATACAAAATATTCGGAATCATTATGCTAGACGAGAATAGCTTTAACTAAACATGTACACAAAGAATTATTTTATATAGACGGAAATAGCTTTAGAAAAAAATAAAAATTAAAACGTATTTTCAAATTCACTAGAGTGTACAAATATTTGATAAACGCAAATATATGTGACATTGATAATGCCAAAAAATCATACAGCCACCGGTAACGTGTAGTACCTACTGTTTAAAACAATTTGGTAGTGTCTACAAATTCTGTATGATTTGCACTGTTCTCTAATAGTTTTATTATTCTTATAGGTTAAATTTAGCATGCAAGTTTTTTCAAAATATAAAGTGGATTTAAAAAAAAAAACAATTTTTCTACATATATATAATATTTAAATAAGTTTGTTCAATCTTTAAAGTATTATGATATTATTTTTAAAAGCAAGCAATTAAGAAAATCATTCTAAAATTTTGTTCTATTGTAATTGCATTTTGTTTTCGTCAAATAATCATTATTAGATAAAAGAAAACAGCTAGGAAACAAAGAAAAACGAAAGTGTTCGAAAGTGCTTTAAAAACATTGATATTAATATACAACATATTATAATTATTTAATAGAACTTATAGTGGTTGTTGATATAATAGTTTTTTACTTTTTTATTCGATCTTTACCGATTTTTTCTTTTCAAAAATATTTACATTATGTAGCTATGTATGTATATTTTTCTCGATTTTATAAAATATACATATATGTATTTAGTGTACAGTTTGCTTTTAATTTTTTAACTTCTTTTGGTTCATTTTTAAATTTTCAAAATAAAATTTTAAACTTTATACATACAAATGTAGAAAAGAAAATAAAAGCAATCCAATTTTATTTTCTATTTAATTGTTTTCTTGATACTGTTTAGATCAGTAAGTAATAAAGAAGTAATTTGCCAATTTTTTTTTTTTTGGATGGTACTCACGTTTTACGATGAGTTCAACAGAAGTTTGAGTAATTATGCCGTTATCAGGGGAAATTACTTTGCATATATAGCGTCCCTCATCATGTATGCTCACTTGACGTAACAATAAAATATTGTTGTTTTCATATGCGGATTGGGGAAGTGCACCATGTTCTTTTTGCCATAAATACTAAAAATCAATAACAAATTCATTAGCTCATGCCAATATAATGAATTTTTTCATACATACTGTTAAACCTGGTTGTGCTGGGAGATCGCAATTCAATTTCACATCTTGGCCTTCTTGTATTTCATGACGGGTAATATGCGCCGGTGGTCTATCATAAATAGTTTCTCCTCGATTGACAATCACTTCAGCTACTTTTGTTGCGTTACCCAAAAGATTAGCTGCAGTGCAATAATAGCGGCCAGCGTCACTATATTTTATGGAATGGAATCTGAGGTAAGGTCCTTCGGCTCTGACCGACCTTTTCAAATATAATGATTTTCAACCTTTGAAACATATAATAGTTGCAACAAACTTACGGGGGCATAGGTCTTCTACTTTCAGCATGCCATTCGACTCTGATAGGTTGTGCTCCACTGACGTTGCAGTAAACATCGACAGTTTCTCCTAAACGAACTGTCATTGGCATCTCAGGTGATAAAGTAATATGAGGAAGATCACTTATTATAACATTTGCATCGAAATAGTGTATAGGATTTCCATTTGGACCAATTACGTTACATCTATATACACCAACTGAATCATAATTTATATCAAAAAGAATTAAATCATTCCCTTGAGTAAGAGAGTTAGTTGGTAAAGGTCGTCCGTCAACTCGAGTCCAAAAGGTTCGTAATGAGGCATCGCGGTTTTGTTCATCAACTGAAATTTTCAATATTATTATTTTTGCATTAATAAGCAAAGTAAGTATTAGGAAAATTAATGAAAGTTACTCGTATTGCATGAAAGTGTTGCTCGCTCGCCTATTTCTACCGGATGAGTTTCCAAATTACTTGGTGTGAAGGTTGGTCTAACTGGATAACGATGAGTTGTTGGTTCTACAACGTCATGAATTCCTAATATTTCAGATGTATTTAGACATTAATTTTAATTAGCTCAATATTTTAGTTATAAAAATGGAGAAATTAAATTAAGTACTAGTCAACTTTTGAAAAATATTTCACAAACTTTGTTACTCAAAGTTTACCTGTATCTCCCCGTCTTCTTTCAATGCGGACATTTATGTAACGTATATCGTTGCCCCCACTGTTTTCAGCCTCACAAGTGTATAACTTAGCATCATTTAAACTTGTTTTGGGAATATAAATTTCAGCTTGTGATATTGACGCTTCTGAATGCTGATTAAAACTTTGATCTAATGTCCATTTAACTTTTGGTGGAGGAATACCACTTGCGATGCATAAAAGTTTTAGCTCTTCTCCTTCGGTTAGATGAAGCTCTGTTGTATTTGGAACGAGGGTTATTTGGGCTGGCTGAACTATTATTAAAGATGTTGAGCCTATAGCTTTGCCTGCTAAGTTCTCAGCAATACATTCGTAAGTCCCGGCATCTTCTTCTTTTATATTGTTAATTCTGCAATAAAATAAGCATTTTAAAGTAATATCGGGTTTTAAATATCTTTTTCTAAAATGAATTTTGGTAATCGTTAGGGGGACGATATTATTAAATGAATCTAATCATGTATATAATGTTGCGATATAAATAATATAAAATTCAGTACAGATCTGTAAGAATAATTAATTTCTTTAATATGTACCGTTTATATAATATACGTAGGTATAAAACTTATAATAATAATATAGTTTACATATCTTCCCGACGAAAATTTATATATGACTCTAACTTATTGCTGAATCACAATATGTATGTAAATATTTTTGTATTTTTCAATTAACTACAACAAAAATAGCACAAACTTAAAAATTCACACAAAACAAGACATATGTATGTATGTTGCTGCAAAAAGTATGCACACGACAAATTTAGAAAAAAAAAACTTTCAAATTACTTACATTAATCTTCCTTGATATTCTTCTTTGATTTGGGATGATAACGGAAGACCATCGGTCCTTCGCCAAGATATTCTAGGTTCGGGTATACCAGCTACTGTTCTACAGTCAAGTATAGCTCGATCCCCAATACGTACTTCTTGTGGTTCAGTTGGATAAATTTCAACCTGTGGACGTTCCCGAGCTGCAATCAAACAAGCAATTGATGTACAAAGTATTAAGAGAAGTTTATTTACGATTAAAATACTATTACCACCTCCTTGCTTGACTGCTTGCAAGAAATCAAAATTACACATTTTAATTTAGAATAATAAAAAGTTAAACTTTAGAAGCATAATGTGAATAAATATATATCAAGTAGTTATATTTATTTTAATCAAAAAAATTTTTCGCTCATATTACGTTAGTAATAGATATTAAATTCTATTCGAATCCTAACAGAAAGAGCAAAATAAAATAAGACGTTGACAAAAACTTACGCTCAACATCTATTATAGTATGAGCTTCACTTGTTGTTCCGCTTGGACCTTCTGCAATACAAATATATAAGCCACGATGATGTGGTTGAGCGTTTTTAATGCTCAAAGTATTGTCCCTTATCTGAATACTTGAGTCCAATTGCTCATGTAACTGTAAGATAGAAAAGCTTATTAGAAAAACTAATTCGAAAGTCAAATTTTCTTAAAAAAGGCTTTATTTACAATTCTCCGAAACTCGGAAAAAGCTTGTTAAAAACCAATTTTTAATTAATAAAAAAAAATTATTTATAGTTCTGCGAAACTCGGAAGAAGACCTATGAAATTAAATTCGATTTTGTCAAATTGACAAATTTTTACAAATGTAAAACGCAAATTTACAAAAGTAAAACGCAATTTTTAATTTATATTTTGTTTTATAAAATACTGATCCAAAACTTTATATTTTTACAATGTATTGTTTAGATAAAATAAATTTGTAATTAGTGCGGTAGTACATAAACACTAACAAAACTTTATTCTAAGACGATTTGGATGTCACAGATATTTATAACTGATTATATTTATGCAAAATGCAAATATTAACTTACTCTGGTCCATTTGATTATTGGACGATTTGCTCCAGAAGCCTCGCATGTAATATCCAAATCTTGCCCCTGAACGACGACATATTTTTCTTGCAAGGGTCTTACATGAACTTCATCACTATAAACAAAATAATTTATTGAAATTTAAAAATTCAAAAATAAATCGATTTACTCCTTTCCATGAGGAAATTCGTCAGTTGCTTCGACATGAACGTATGATGTTGAACTATATGTATCTCCATTTGACTGATCTATAACCCTGCATATATAATTTCCTGTGTCATGTGGAGCTGCTTTACGTATAGTTAGTTCATTTCCATTAATTATAATGTTTTGATTTTTGTACAATTTGTTGTCATCCTTTAGCCATTCGTATTCAACTATAAACTGCTTTCTTAATTCGCAAAGAAGAGTAATTTTTTCTCCAGTTCGAGCGTTGTATGAGGGCGGCTCCACAACAACAATATCTTGAAGCGGTGGTAGCAAATTATTTGGTTGAGTAGATTTGACATATATTTGTAAAGATTCTTCAGACCTTCCAAATTGGTTATAAGCGGTACATCGATAAGATCCTTCATCTGATCTTTGAATCGATGAAATATAGAGCCGCTCATTTTCTATTTCAATATCAGATGACATTTGTTTGTCAATTCTCGTCCATTGAACGTTTGGTGTAGGATTACCATAAGCCTCACATATTGCTTCAACCGGTTGGAACTCTTCGGCTTCAATAATGTTTTCTGGTCTTATACGAATTGTTGGAGCATCTGTTGGTTCTGATCCTGAGAATTATATTTGAACTTATTAGAAAAAACATGTACAATATTTGAAGAAGATTTATTTATCTACATACATGTATGTATGCATGTACATATATTACAATTCTTTTTATACATCTGGTTTAGACCATTAAAAACAAATTTTTTAAACTTTCAACAAACCAGTGTACTTAATTTTCAAAAAATTCCTATATATGAACATACATTAAGTATATATAAATAAATATGATGGCATAAATAAAAAAAAATATTTTGTGTTTGTCTAACTACCTATATATATTTTATCAAGGAGCCAAATAAATATAAATTATTACATATGTATCTATATCAAAGAAAAAGTTTACAAATAATACTTTACCCAATCTTGAATACTTCTCAATGTAACTTTTAGAATAACCTTTGGTAAGCAGTTAATTAAAATGAAAATGTTTACGTTAGTAGGTAATATGAAGCTGACTTTATCATACATAGGTTGATTCAGTAAACAGTCCTTTAAAGAATCAGAAATGGGTAAAAGTTTGCTTAGTTTGAATATTTGATCAATTTTTTACTTCCTCGCAACTTTTCATGATAACTTCTCTATCAAAAAAATTAGGAGCTTCAAATTTAAGTCCTGCAAAGAGCTGATCAAGGCTTGAAGATAAGATGTGATTCTATTTTATGTCTCAAAAACTTTCGGAACGGCAAGAATTATTAACTTCGAAAATTTGAATTAACATTTTTTATGCCTAGAATCATAAAATCTTCTCATATAAAATTTTATTTAATTTCAAAGTGAACATTGTAACAAATGTTTGAAATTTTATTGTTTAGTAAAGCTTTTTCGAATTTTAGAATTTCTGGTAAGGTTTTCTGGGTTTAAGAATATTTCCACGTTCATTAAAACTTTATCAATGTTAATTAATATTTAAAGAATAGGAAAAATAAAAAAACTTGAAGTTTTGCGAAATTTAATGTAAGATTCTGGGTTAAGAAAAGATAAAGAAAAAATTAAAAAAACCCTTGCTTCTGGAAGTACTTGAGATAGGCAATCGAACCAAAACTTACCTTCAAATCCTGTAACATTTTCCACAACTCTAAATTTAAAGCTCCTATATATCTTGAAATCAAAGTTATAAAGGAAATATAGTGAGTCTGTAAAAATTTCGACAAATATTTTTAAAATCGCTGAATCTCAGACGAGCTTTGATACTCACTATTAAACAAAAGTTTTATCTATTTTTGATTCTCTACGTATATTGACATATGGTACTCATTACTGAACTCCACTGCATATACTCATGCATAAATTTCGAAACATAATTATTATGAAATTATAAACATGTACGCGATACTTACGACCAACATTAATAGGAATTTGTTCTTCCACAACTTCATTACCACTTTGTGCTTGGCAAACGTATACACCTGAGTCGTGTACTTGGAGATTATAAAGCCTCAAAATACCATTACTTTGTTCAGCATCATAAGGCAAATTATCCTCTAGTTTGAGCCATTTGACATTAATTGGTGCCTGGAATTGTAATTCAAATATTTAAATTATAATCTGCATTGTATGATTATTTGAAACAAATAGGGTAAGTTAGTACAGTCGCATAAGTGAATAAATTTTTTGAGTTACTGATTTGATTGACATTGTTTATAAAAAATTTTTGATTGAGTATTAAGAAATATTCAAGTATTTAAACATATACATATGTATTTATTCAAGAATATTTCAAGCATTTCCATTTTTATATAATAAACTACTAAAATTAAATTTAATATGAGTATACTCACACGTGTGGCTAACATTATTGCTCTGCAAGTTAATGTGAGGGATCCACCAACTGGTATAATGCTTAAAGTTGGACTGTCGATTCGAACTTCTATTATAGCTTGCGGTTTTTCGGTATGTGGAATAGAAGGGCTTGGTTTACCTAATTGTGTGGGAAAGAAAAGTATCATAAACAAATGTTGCACAGTTATTTAAGAGAATATGTCTCTAAAAAATACTTGTTAGTCACAATACCCTTTTTTTTATATATAATGTAAATTTATGTTTTTATTACTTTTGGAAAAAATAGTAACAGCAGCTAGAGCTTCGAAGGGGTCTTTTTGTTTGTATTAATAATAAAACCAATATGTGGATATGTATTTTTGCAATAGAATGTGTTTTTATGCAAATGTTTTAAATTGATATTTGAATAAAGTACATCTTGTAAAAAAGATATCAAAATTAGTCAATTAAAATCTGTAAAAATAATTGTTGTTATTTCCCCTTAAAAACTTAAAAAACCTACAGAATTATTTATATTTTGTACTGGCAATCGATTTTTACAATTTTGCTTAAATAAGAGAAATGTGTAAAAGGGTAAGAATAATTTTCATTTAAGTATAGATATTAAAATATGTATGTAAAATTAATATTAAATTTTGTTTGCAACGAAAGTTTAAATTAAGAATAAAAAGATTTGTTTCGATATAACCAAAATATAATAGAAATATACAACTACATAAAATAGTTACATATGTATTTAAATGTAAAGTACAATGTAATCTAAATATAAAGTACTAAATATAATTATGTGAATATATATGTACAAACAAGTAAAATTCGTTATTTCCTGAAGTTGATTTTTAAAATTACTTTTAGTTTTACTACAAATTTTGTGTTTATTTTGACATATGATTACTAATTATATTATTTGATCAAAGTTTTCGCTTTTTGGTTAGCCTAATCTACCTATTTTGGTATATACATATATAATTTTCAAAAAAGGTGAAAATGTTTTAATGAAACAGAAATACAGCGGAACTGTTTTTCTTTTCCTTACAGTTTGAGAAATATACACAAACATACAGCGAGGCTGTTTGTTTTATTTAGAATACGGGGTCCAAATTTAAAAATTATCAAAAAGTTTTATTTTGCTTCCTTCCTTTAATTAAATAATAACAAAGGAATATTAGCACATATTTTAATATTTAAGCTTGCTTTTCTTCTATTACTTGACATATGCTATGTGGTAACTTTAAAATGCAGACTGCTATGGAAATAACTAAAAAAAAAAGCTAAAGAGAAATAGCTAAAAAAATAGCTACGTCAGCCTACGTACATATATCTTTCGTAAATATTATAAAATATCGTTTTCAATCAAGTCAAGTCAATAAGTAAAGTCAAGTTTACCAATTCCTGTTTTAGCAATATGAATAGCAACAAATTGTCCTTCTCCTTATAGGTTTCGTAATATATAAACGCTACAAACATCTTGACAGTTTTTTCGGTATAAAAAATTGGCAGACGGACAAATTTAAACTGATAGCCGATTTTTTTTTAATTTTTTGGAAATTTCCAAAAAATTACATGTATATAGTTTTTATTCTTAATTAATTTATAATAGGGGATATTACTTTTAAAATTAGCACTTGTACAATATAAAATTGACTGAAATCATAAAATACTTCCACATTAATTTGTTGAACACAATATGATGTTTTCTTTTAAAAAGTTTTAAATAAAATTTATAAAATTTTGAATTAATCTATGAAATTGTATGTATATTTTTTAGTGAATACACAGTATTTTGACCTTAACAGAATATGTTACTTTTATTCTTCTCTACTATAAATTTTCGAATTAGATCTTCGTGTTAAACATTTTCAAATAATTTAACGCACGGTTATCTTAAATTTAAAAGTTTTCCCAGGTCTAATTAGTAAAAACTTAAAAAAATCATAAAAGCATTTTAAAGAAATTCGTTCGCTCTTTGCTCCAATTATTATTATCAATTAAATAAACTTTTTTGATATAAAATATAGCCTTTGTTCTTTTTGACGAACATAATATAATTTTATATTCAAAATGCGTTTCAAGGTAATAAATTTATGTTTTAAATAATATTTGTCTTTCAGTAACCACATAAAATTTGGACTTATACATATTCTAGTTATCAATTTTTATCAGGCCTCATTATTACAAAATTAAAAATAAAATTTTAAAAAGAAATTTCTGAACTGTGCTATCTGCATTTGCAAATCGAAGATCTAAATCTTAAAACAACAAATTAATTGGAAGTCAAAATTTTATATACAAAATAAATAACTCTAATATTCTATAAGTACATAAAATAATAATATTAAAGTGTGTAATATAAGTGTAAATATCGCACATTTAGTGCATATATAACCAAATCATAAAATATTTATTTTTCTCTAAAACTAATCTACAAAATTAATAAAATTCTACAACATAAAACAATAAATACATATTATGAAATTATATTCAGCTAGTAAGTTAAATAATATTTATGAAGAATTGAAATTAAATAAAAAATAAATAAATTTTGGAACCTAAATGTGATCTTGAACAATTCTTCGCGAAAAAAAGCTCTCCACTTTTAATTTTATTTTTATCATATATGTAGTATTTATCATATACAATTGGCTTCTTATTCCATTTCACGACATATTGGTTACAACAAGGCGATGTTGTTGTTTTATTTATATCTTGACCATCCTTAAAACCTTTTTTAATTTAAATAAAAAATATATGAAAAATGAAAGGTAATGCAAATTAAAAAATAAAATAAAATGTAAAATAATGTATGTATATAATTATATCTATACACTTAAATTTCGAATACATAAATACACGGTCATAAATCTATTCTTAATTGTTGCACATGAAGTATCTGTGCAAATTCTAAGTAACGTGAATTCTCAGAAAAATTTATCAATCAATATAACGTGAAGAGTGTATTTTAATTTAATGTTTTTAGTGTATTTAAACGTATCTTACCATATTGGCATCGATCTCCAGAATATCCTTGTTTGCAATGACATTTAACATAACCTGTTCCACTCATTTCACAGGACTCAGTTTGGTCAGTGCACCAAGTATGACAAGGTTGACATGCCCCAAAATATCCTTTATCCGTTTGAGATATGTTTCGATAAAATAATGGCGAACAATTCTAAAAAGTTTATTTTTGCTAGGTTAATGGACATACTTTCATTTGAATAAATTAATATAGAAAAAAATGTCTTTAATGAAAGTCTTAAGAAAATAAAAAAGTAATAATACTTATGTTATATTACTACTTTTTTTTTAATGTTCATAAGAAATATTCTTTTGTTATGTTTGAGATGCTAGGGTATTGAATCAATTTTAACGTATGTACCAAAATTGTTTTAGAAGTAGTGTGCTTTGTTTTAGAACTTTGTGGCTTATTGTGTGAAAAATTCATTTAAAAATTTTGTTTTTTTAAGATAACATAATATTTAAAATTAAATATTTGGTTTATTTAATTTTTTTCAAAAAATATGTTATGCACATATGTGTGTACAAAAATAAATACATATTTTGTTTTGAAGTTATGAAAATAAAAGTTTTAGTAATGCATATACATACATACGTCAAATAACTTGCCATTAAAAATGTTTTAGAACTTCGTTTGGGAAACTACTGTAATAGGTCCTTAAGAACAGTTAGAAGGGGCATATTGAACTTTATGACTCTGCGTACCCTTCGATTTCAGAACTTTTCCCCTTTATGAGGTCAGAAAAAAAAGACTAAATAGTTTGAAAAATGTATTGCAGCAAATTTGAAAGAATTATTTGACAAATTCTTGAAGTACCGAAAAAAACCCTGAATGAGCAATTTTATATTATCGTGAGAAGCTAAAGTAGAAGCCAATTAAAGAAACTTGTGGATTTGACAAATATTTCGCAGTAAATACCTCGCAACTTGTTCCTTCATATCCTTCCGGGCAAGAACAAAATTCTATTAAAGCGGGTTTTATGCCAGAACTTTCTGCAGTTTCCATAACAACATCGCTTAACGAAGATTTAAGTGTTGGAATCGACGGTGTAGCCCTTATTAAAATGTGATCAATATTTGCTAAAACCGTCATTATATCAGTTTTTGAAGCTGGGTATGGCGAGCTGTACGTATCTTGCCTGTACCATTGGTTATTAGCAGTTAAGCGTATGGCAAAATTTTTTAAATTTTCTCCTCCAGGTGGACGAGACCAATAAATTATTACACCATTTCCCATTAAGATGACATCTTTCCCCGGTTCAAAATGTCCATTGCTCTCAACCTCTAATTTAAATTCTAAATTCCCGCCGTAAGACTTTATTTGATCTCCTAATAGACGACCAGATAAACTCCAATATTTTTGTGTGTAAGATGGTGTTAAATATGTAAAAAGATTATGCACTATATCGAAATCTAAGTTGTCTTCATCTACAAGCATACCATCAGCATCACTTATAATAGGCTTGTTACTAATGAAATCAAAAGGTATAAATTCTTTATAAAAATTGGCTTGAGTGCAGAAGGACGTTACTCCAGAACAAAAACATTCTTCACAACCGAAGGGGTTGGAGTGATCTAAATTAAATGTACCCGAGCGGCATCTATCACAAGTTTCTCCTTCCACGTTAGGTTTACAATGGCAATAATTATTTTCACAATTTAACACTCCCCTTTCATCACATCGATCGCATAATGAATGATCGCTACCTAAGGGTACGCAATCATGTGGCGTTCCTATAGTTGAATTACCTTCATACCCAGGTAAACATTGATCACATTGCGGGCCAATTGTGTTATCCCGGCAATTCTGAAATTAAATATTGTTCATGTGTATAATTAAGTTTTATTTTATTGTTCAATATCCTTACAATACAAATACCGCTTTCGGGGTCGCATTCATTTGAGTGGCCATTACACTCACAAAGTTCGCATATTCCTAAATAAAGACCATGCTCTTGAGACCGTTTGTAGCCCGGAGCACAATCTTCACAAGATAGGCCGGTATACCCAGAAGGACATACGCATTGTTCAACTTCAACTGCTCTATTTTGTCCAGTATTTGATCTTATTGCGGTGTCCATACTAACTTGTATGAGCGCAGCTTCTTGTGTAACCGTAGTGTACGTGGCTTTGATGTAAATTGCTTCTATATCTGCTAATGCCATTAATAAATGTTCCCTATTAACAAGCACTCCATCATTCCTTTGCCAAGAATTTTCGACAATGGGAATTGTATATGTGTACGCAACACTCGGAGATATTTCGTTCTTATTATAATGCAAGATAACAATATCATTTTGACTCTTGATAACTACATCAGGGGCTACATTTCTGGATCTTTGTCCTCCAGGCAATGGACTAAATCTAACGGTGTAATTTAGTACCCCCCCATAGGCAGTTACTTTGTCTCCAAGGAACTTAGATGGTAAGCTCCAATAAAGTACGTCAGATGTATCAGATGCTCCGCGAAATATCAATTGATCATTTGTTTCTCTTATTTCGAATGATTCTGGTTTATCGTTTTCATAGTCATTAACTAAAGTAAATCCGTGAGATCCCCTTGTGTTTGAAAAACTTGAACGAATTGTGTCTCTATAATAATTACTACTTGAACAAGTTTGTGAAACGCCCATACAAAAGCATTCAATACAACCACTGTGTGAATACGAATTTAGGTGGAAGGAATTTGTCGCGCACATGTCACATTTTGGTCCAATCACGCTAGACTTGCACTCACAAGTTCCATTTGAACGAATTCTTTGCGTTCCATCAGTATGGCACTCATTTGAAGGTCGTGCTTGACAGTAGCTACCCGGTTGCATAGGGTTGCCTTCATAACCTGGAGCACATTGCTGACATCTATGTCCTGTATAGCCAATCTGACAGTTACAAATTGGTTCTCCATCTGGTCCTGAAACACATCCAGTTGCAAAGTTGTTTGCGGCATTTGTTAGTGGACATGGACACGGTTTACATGCAATTCCGTGACTTGGATCTCCATATTGTCCTTGTGGACATAATTCTATTACGTGAGGGATGCAACGTCCGAGCCACGGACCGCTTCTTTGTCTTACATATCCTGGAGCACAACGTTCACATGAGTAGCCCATATATCCAGTTGGGCACGTGCACTCTTCAACTAAAGATGCAGAACCTAGGCCCCTATCATCAACTGCAGCTGAATCAATTGTAATATGAGTCAACTCTACTTCACGCTCCGTAGCATCAATGTATTCTAAACGAATCAATATTCTTTCAACTTCAGCTAGTACCATCATGATTTCACTACGTGTAGCTAAACGTCCATCTGGCTTTTCCCACTGACCTTGAGCAAACTGAACATTATACTGCGTTTGACCATTGCTGATTGGTGGTTGGAGAGATTTATGTGCTAAACTATATCCGTTACCAATTATTATGACATCAGGAGCTGAAATTGTTCTTCCATGGCCATAGTAGGTTAAAGTATATTTTATGAATCCACCGTAAGATTTTAACTGGTTTCCTGAATAATCGGAGGGAAGTTCTAAATATGGTATTTGGCGCCTTGAGAAAGGAACGTTTGATACACGAAATTGAACACCATGTCTAGTTTTTATTAAATTATGCCCCTCATACTCGCCAATTTGAATACCAGAAGGAGTGGGCTCCACGCCTACTACTTTATGTGAAGTAATCGGAGGAGGCAGCGCGTAAATGTATAAATCAGCACTCTTACATTGATTTGAAATACCAAAACAGAAACAGCTAATACATTCGTCTTTCCGAACAGCTAAATTGTTAAATGTTCCAGCTGGGCAAATATCTTCAGAATCTCGAATAACCGTAACGATTGTGTCAGGAGTAACAAATATGCCACCTTTGGTATTTATAATTTCACAAGAGTATGCTCCACTATCTTGAGTTTGCATGTTTGGGCAGTAAAGGTTCCCCAAACCGTTTTGACTAGTTGATTCACATTTTTCTGGCACATGACCCCAATTTAAACGCCACACTATTAGTGGAACAGGAACTCCTACAGCTCGACAAGAAATGTTCAATGCAGTTCCTGGGTATAAATCTACTCTTGGAGGTGGTGGACTTATCACTGCAGGAGCAACTGTTTAAAATTATAAGAGGTTATTTTATAAAAATGTTTGAAATATTATTAGAGAAAAAAAAACTAACCACAGCCAACCTCATCGGTTCCATCTCGACAATCATTAGTTCCATCACAATGGAACGATTTTGGAATACAGTGACCACTGCGGCATTGAAATTCATCATGTCGACATGGAGCATCGCTTGGATTAGGATCACAGCTTTCTTCATCTGAGTTATCACCACAGTCATTTTCGCCGTCACAACGCCATATTCGATCCACACATTTAGAATTCTTACACCTAAACTGGTTTGGACTACATTTACGACCATGACTACAACTGTGTTCATCTGAACCGTCTGAACAATGCGGTATGCCGTCGCAAATACGGTTTTTATCTATACATTCTCCATTCATACAAGTAGCTTCATGATATCCACATGCTGATGGAGGTCGATCCAAAATTGGATTGTCTATTTAAAAGTGAATAAAAAATATGTTACTTAAATTTTGTAATTAAATTATAATTGTTCATAATTACGAAATTACCAATGAGAATGAAATTTCCAAATCAATTTATTTGGAAGCATTAAGAGTTAAAAATTAAGTTAAAAAATATTAGAATCAATACTAAATTAAAATTATACCTAAGCCAAAAAACTCAAAGCCGATATGCGGCACAGTCCCATACTTAATTTTTGTGGAAGGCTTTTCATACTTATGCCTTCCCCAAGCTGCATTGATCGAGGAAAAAAGCTTGTGGTCTTAATTTTCTTATATCAAATTTTAGTGTACTAAATCAAAATAAATAACTTACATTTCTCGACTGTGAGGCTGACACTAACACTCTGTCCTCTAGTAAATGCGGGATATCCTACAGCTTCACAAACATATTCCCCAGAATCTTCTACCTAAAAGTGTTTTCACAAATAAAAAAAATATTTTGTTTTCGTTTTAAAATTACCCGTATATTTGGAATTTCCAAACGACCGTTTTTGTCAGTAAAACCACGTGGCAAAGGTCGACCGCCCGGTCTGGACCATTTCACTTTGGCTCTGGAAGGACCTTCATCACGACAACGAAATACAACCTCACGACCTTATAAAAATTAATATTAGGTCAATAAATGTACAAAGCTATTTTTTTTAACATAAGTTTTCTTATATAATCTATGTTTCTTAAATTCATAACAAATTTTGTTGTGTATAATAATTGCGCAATAATTATAATATAAAAGAGGTTATGTGTGCTAATTTATGAAAATAAGAAGACATTCATTTTTATTTTACTTATTCAAATCATAAAGGAATTTGCTATATACATTGTACATATGTACATATATGTTTGTGAGTTCAAAAATGATGAATAAAATTTTGTAAATTAAATTACTGTAAATTATTGAACTTAAGTAATTTTTGTCTATGTGTGAAAATACTGTTATGTAAGATACATATTATACAATATGTATACAAAAAAAAACATTAATGCGAAAAGTGCGAAATTTCTAAAATTTACTAATTTGTATCATTAAGGCATACACATATATTATTGTTGTTATTATGTTTAACTTACCCTCCCTAATGTATCCTTTGTTAACAACATGATTTTAAGAATAAAAAATATATATATAATATATATGTATGAAGTATTGTAATGCGTAAATTATTTTATTAAATAGATTAAAAATAAGAAATAAATTACAATTAAATAATATTAAAAAAATAATTGCTAAAAAATTATTGGTCTCAATTAAATTTTATTTTTAAAAATTTATTTTTAAAATGTGTCTTATAGATAAGTTTTAAAATTCAAAGCACGATTTATTCAATTTTATTAATTTATACCTAATGTTAATAATTACATATAATACGTATATGTTATGTAATTAATAAAGTTCAAAATTTTGATAAACAAAATAATAATAATAACGCTTATACAAAGTATTCGCTAGGTTTATTGTGTCTTATTCCTTTCTAACTTAGCTTTGGTATGAACTTAATGTTTATTGATACTCGAGATTAGCTCATTTTCAATTTTTTTTTGCTGTTTTGAATAGCTTCGCCAGCTCCTTGGAGTGTCGCAAATATTCAATGCTCGGGGCGTATCAAATGGGGTTTAAAAGAATTTTTTTTTTATGTTAGGTGTTAAAAATGATCGGAAGACAAAAATAAGCGGACCCAGCCTGTCATCAGATATATCAATCGTGGGGGACAAACCCAACTTAAAACTTAACTCACTTACTTGGGGGACACCCAGATCATTATGAATGTCACTATTGCGCACATACCAATGAGCACCCACCATATTACGAAGGACCTTATTCTGGAAAGTTTGTATTTGTTTGATATGTGTTAGCTTGGCACAACCACATAGCTGCAAGCCATATGTGCATATAGACTATATCATTTGGTTATGTCAACACCTTATTGTACGTTGACAATCCAGACCCGGACCTAGGAGCCAATAGTTTTCTCTATATTTCTTTTCTTCTTTACATGTTCTTTCTATCTGAACTTGACATCCAAAGTCATACCTAAATATTTCGCCGTGTTTTGGATTGATACTTTAGCACCATTCAAACTCAATTGTGGGGGGTTCACTAAATTTTGATTTGTGAAATTCACATGTAAAAATTTACTTTTTTTATTTGTACATACATGTGAATTTTATTGTTACTTGCTTCCTGTAACTTTTTTGTCGATTCTTCAACAATTGATTCCACTGCATCGTCGTAATGCCTGATTAATTCTGAAAATCGCTTGTATAAAGCCCGTATAATATAGGATATTTTTTGTAGAACACCGCCTTGAGGCACACCAGACAAGACTCGTTGTCTTTTTTGATTCGGAAGAGTCGGTCAGATAAATACGATTCAAGTAACTCTACGAATTACAAAAGTATCAATTTTTTAAGTTCAAATAATATCCCGTCGAGTCAAACTTTGTCAACGCCTGTGCCACGTCCAGAAATATTGTCGAACATAATTGCCTTTCCTTTGACGCCTTTTCAACAATATTTGTTATTATGTGTTAAGTACACAGGATAACAAATATCAATTATTGTATGTCGAATATAAACAAATACATCCATTGTTGCATGCTTTGTTCTAAAATCAAACTGACGGTTTGGAATCAATTACTTATATTCTTTTATAAGTTATACTTATCTTGTTAACAACAATTTTTCAAAAAGTTTTGATATCATTAGCAGTAGAGAAATCGGTCTGTATGACTTTGCCTCATTCAAAGGTTTTCCCGGTTTTCCTATTATAATAACTTCCGCTACCTCTCAAGTTCTAGGAACATACTTCAGATTAACTGCTGTATTTATCAATTTTTCCAAAAATGTCATAGCTTTACTCGGCAACGCTCTTAATATCTTAGCAGTAATGAGATCAAAACCTGGGGCCTTATTCGGTTTAAGCGACTTCATCGCTTGGCAAATTTCTTTTTCATAAAAAAAAGTCAAGATTGCTTTCATCCATAAAAAATCTTCTACAAAAGAAATACTAGAAATCAGTTCATTTGGTTGAAAAATTCCTTACAAGTGATCAGCAAATAGTTCAACTTTATTTCTGTTGGTTTTTTCAGTGGGGGGATTTGCTTTATCGGCTTCTTAGTACTCTTCGTTGCTTTCCACAACGAATAATTCGTTTCTTTTTTGCCGACAAGCCCTTTATATAATTCTCATATGACAAGGATTTAAAATTTTTTATTTTTCTTTTGAGTGTTTGAGAAAGTCTATTCACAATCATTTTATGGTGTTTGTCTTTAGGATAATTGCTTGATACAGGTTTCAATTCAGAGAATCTTGTATTTTTCCCCGGCAGCTTTTTGTATCAATTTGATAAAATTTCTAGTTGATCTGGGTGACGCGACTCTTGCCATTTATACGTCAAAAGATTTGCTGAAATCCTTCTTGCTTAGTTCTGATGACTTTCCTTAGTTCTCTACCTCTAGTTGAGGTTATTCTAGAGCCCCAACCCACATGTTTGCCATTATAGTCACCTCCCAGTAAGAATCGGTTTCCTCTCCCGCATGGCAGACACTTAAAAATATCCTTGTATTTTTAAGTGACTGCTATGCGCGAGAAGATACTTAAAAATATTCTTGTGATCTTATGTAACATAAACATCCCGGTGGCAATATACTGAACCAATTCTGAAGTCCTGCCTGATAGACTCAATTTTAACCACAACAAGTTGAACCTCCTCAGTATCTATTTTGGATTCCTTATCATGTTTTATAGTTTCCCTAATTAAAATAGCGCTACCTCCTCTTGAATAGTTACCAGGGAGAATTGCCCTATTTGTAACCCAATACATCCCCAAGTCCTTCTTTACTGACATTTTTCAGAAATCGCCTCGTGGTTGCTAGATACTCGTTATTGTATCTATTCTCCATAGTAGTTCGTCTCATTGAGATTTCGTCATTTCTTTGTAGCATGTCTTGCATTATTTGCATTATGCAAACGTCAATTTCTTTAGGGTTTTGCATTGTATTTTTGCGAATTTCTTTATTATTCATGTCTTTCTTAGGTCTTCTATCTATATAATTTTTTTCCATTTTTGAAGCTTGTGAGTATGTAACACAATTTTTTACCTTATTTGATGTAAAAGCATTAATCGTTTTTGTTAAAAATAAGTTACATTCTGCCGTCATATGATTACCAGCATATTTAATACATTTAGCCCCTGTTTGGCAAATTCTGCGTGTATGACCGAAACTTTGGCTTCTTTTGCATTGCGGGATGGATCCATTATTTCTAAGAGGCTCAACTTTTACTTAGATGTGTTAAAGGTATTCTATTTTATATATTTTAAATAGTAAGGACAACTTTTAAATACTATTCACATCATTTTCTTTTATTTTTCTAATTGTATTTATGGTATCTACGCATTAAAATCTCCTTTGGATAAGTTCACTTTTAATATCCCGTGGCTTACATGATGATGTAGGTTTCTAATCGTTCCTTTAATTGGCCTCTTCAATTTATTTTCATATGTATGCCATTCCAATTTGGCATATTAACAGCTTTAATTAATTGTCTATATTCTTTTAATATTCAAACTTTTAATTTTCTTTATAATTTTAAGTTTTAGTTGATCATTGTTGATAATGTTTACCTTCACGTCAATACTTTTCTCTTTGAGGATCCTTATTAACTGCGTGTAATTAGTTATATTACTCATTGTTATCGCCGGAGGTTTATATTTTTTAAGCTGATCATTTTTGTTTGGTAAAGATTTCTATAATTTTTTCTGGTCCACTTCTGGTGAACTCCAAGCTTTTTTCTTCTCTTAGCTTTCCTTGAGCTCTTGTCAAGCGGGTTTATTAATTTCGCTAGTTGATTTTTTTTTTTGACTGATGACACTTCTCTGAACGTCTTCAACATTCAGCCAAACCCTCGCCAACAGCCGTGGCATCTGCCGACACTTTAGTAGATATCCCTACCACATTTAAATTCTTATTATGGGACATTTCATATTTGTTTATAACTTATGTAGCTATTAACCCAGCCAGGGCTTCTTCCACTACCTTCTCTCTGGGGTCAGACACAGACAAGGAAGTCGTCCATTCTGGATCAGACGCGCCTGAATTTTGTCCGGATTTTATTGGACTCGTACCACAAGCATGCCTGCTGTGGGTATTTCTACTCCTCAACCCACCGGTTGAGGTAAAATTAATTAAATTGATATTTTTTAAGTTTTAAAGTCATGGAATTCCGGATGTTGGAAAAATTATAGTCAATGTGTGTGGCTACTGTTCCTGAGCAAGGTTTTACTTTAAGCTTTAACAATCCTATTTAATCCAATATCTTTCTTACTGAAAAATGAAGGTACATCTAATGTTAAAAAATGCAAAAAACAAAAAACTCGATATGTACTTTTGCCCAGGAACCTATTCTTTTATACAAAAGAACGTTGATTTTATATAAAACTTAAAAAAAATTAACGTTGACTTTGAAAAAACCTGCTTAGAAGGTTTTTTGAAATGGAGTTTTTTGAAACCAAAAGCGAACACCCTGTATAATATGTATGTATACTCTGTATAATTTTCCTATTTTTTTTGTACAGTTTAATTTATTCGCAGCAAATAATTAAAAATTTTAATTTAAAGTAAATAATACGAATGCATTAGTATAGTATAAATTCATTCGTAAAGTAATGAAACAATTCATTGTAAGAAAATAAACCGTTTTATTATTTTCTTAAATTTTGAGCAGTATAAGGGATTTTATTTGAACAATGGTTGTATTACCTACAGTTATAAAAGTACTTTAACTACGTATGTAAAAAAATATATTTTAATATATTTTGCGATACAGCAGGCATTGGCTTTAATATTTTAAAATAAGTAGCTCTTCAAATACCATTTACTTTATTACAAACAACGAAAAAAAAGTTGACTAAATAAATATAAATTAAATTAAAAATAATGTATTTTGTATCTATAAAAACGAAAATTGTATACTCACTTTCCTTGATAATTTGGCTGCTTGGATATGTTTTTATATTTAACTGGGGATCTGATGGTGGTAAATGTGCTGAAAGTATAGGTAAATGTTTAAATATTTCATACAAGATTTAAATACAATTAGTTGATGTTAATAAAAATGATGTTCGAACATAATATTCTCACAATTATTAGTTCCAAAAAAGTTTAAATTCAGTTAAAGGTTAGTCAAAATGATGTTTGAATTTGAGATTGTAGTTTGGATTATCTTGCAGACCCCAAACACATGTTTTTATGTAAAATTTGTGTGAGAAAAAACCATTACCCAATAAAAAATTTCATTTAATTTTTAAATAACTAAGTGAATTATTAAGTTTAAAAAGCAATATTCATATATATTGTAGCAAAAGATTATTCTGGCATTAATTGAAGGATAACAGAAGCACCAACCAACTTACGATTTATTTCATTAGCTGTTTCGCAATAAATTTCGTCGCTTCCGTCTTGGGGACAATCAACGCGTCCATTACATTTTAGGTCTAATGAAATGCACTGTCCATTTTCACATCGAAAAGTATCAATTGGACAAAATTTGTTTCGGTGTTGATCATTTACATGGAGATCTTTTAGATCAACAAATATTTGTATTAATTAATAATAATCTATTACAATATTGTATATACGTATGTATTGTAATGATTGTTATATGTATATAGCATTAATGTCTAGATATTATGAAAAACAATATATAATATCGAGATATTAATACTTACATTATACTTAAAAGGTTCCTTTTTAAAATTAAATACATATGTAGGTATAAAAAACATTTCTTTTTTTTACTTATTAAAAATACTTACGACAACCGCGTTCATCTGAATAATCATCACAATCATGCCGCCCATCACATCTTGAATGGGAATTAATGCATTGACCATTTTCACATCGCCACTGATAGGATTGACATCCATAATATGGACAGCCTTCTTCATCAGCTCCGTCGGGACATTCTGATCTTCCATCGCATTGGCGTGCACAAATACCATTACTGCATGTAAATTGATCCGATCCGCAGCCTATGCATAAATAAAATATTTTAAATTATGAAATGTAGAATATATCTACGCATGTAAATATGCATGTAACCTTAATTAAAACAAAGTAAAAACTACGGCTACAATTAACCTCAAGTCGTATATATTTTTCATGCACAAAAATAAAGAAAAAAAGTACTGTATGATAAGGGTTATTAATCGATAAAATTGATGATATGAAAAAAAACAATCGATAATTCTTAATAATTAATGCCATATATAAGTATATCTATCAGGGCACCAAGCTGAGAGAGTAAATCAATCATAAATAATTTCCAAATTTATATGAATATCATACGATTGTTGAAATTTTTTTGTGAACGAAATTAGCTAATATTTTATAATATGCCGATTTTTCATATTATTTCAATATTTATCCTTCAAATTTTAGAAAAATCGGTTGAGAAATTCGCTAAAAAACGTTAAAAGAGGTTTGAAAAAACCCTAAAATTATATAATAGAAGTAATATTTTGTTATATAGTAAAAATGTTTTATTATACAAAACAAGTTTGACTAGCAGAACATATATATATATATATATATATATATATTATGTATGTTACATAATCTCTGTCGATACATTCGTATTTTTAAATAAAAAACAATCCTCTATAGATCTTTGCATAGATGTTTTATTTTTCTCGTAAATGTTCTTATATTTTAACACAATTTCAAACATTAATTGTAACGTTTTGTGATCTATCTAAATTTTGAAATATTTCAATCGCTGAAGTAATGCTTTTTTTAATAGAAGTTTTATGAACTTGTTAATTAAAAAATAATATTATATGTAGTAAATGAGCTATTTTAAATGTAAAAAAAGTAAGAAATAAAAGCTACGTTAAGCGACGTAAAAAAACGTTAAGTAAGGATATGGTTTGAAAAATAAAAACTACATTAAGTGAAATTACGTATAGTAGGCGCAAATGTTATGGAAGGCTTACCTGTATACGTTAATGTAACCAATAACAACAAAATATTATTTCTACGCTATGATTTTTTTCAAACTTGGAATATTTTTATAGCATATAAACAAAATTTTTAATAATACTTTTTAACTTAGGTATTCTACGATTTTTGAACGTGTTTTTTTTTTATCAAACATCCTATTTTTGCAGATTTCATAGTTTTGATTTTTCGAACATAATTTGTATTAATTCTGAGTTTAATTCAATATCAATTATTGAAATTATTCAATATTTGTATATATATATATATATATATATATATATATATAGAGATATATATATATATATATATATATATATATATATATATATATATAAATGTATATATATATATATTATGTATATATATATATTATATATACTTAATTCAATATCAATTTCAATGTATATATATTATATATACTTAATTCAATATCAGAGTTTAATTCAATATCAATTATTGAAATTATTCAATATTTGTATATATATATTATGTATATATATATATTATATATATATATATATTTTATGTATATATATTCAATTTATAATTTTTTATTCGCAATTTAACTTAGTACTCGATGGGGTTTTGTAAAGTTAAGGAAATGTATTTTTCAAAACAATCTGATGTGGTACGAAGCCTATGTGTAAAATGTCAAGTTGACTTGTTCAATATTTTTTTAAAAATGATCAAAAATTTGCAATCGGGCTGCAAAAAAGTCCAGTTCTCGAGACCTGACATATCATAAAAGTTGATCAATCCTTGACAAAGTCAAAATAAACTCAAATATAAATATCAAATATCAATATTGTAGATATGCGAAAGTTAGTGCCATCACATCACTTCCCTTATTGTGTCGGAAAATAATTTCAGCTTGCAAGCCTGATACTTATACATGCATATGGTATCACAATTAATTTAAATTTAAAATTTTAGTAGGGAGTTGACTATGCTACGTATTTTACAATCAACCTTTGAAACTAAAAATATTAGAAAATACAAACAATGTAAATACATCATAATATGTGTTTTTCTACATACATATGTACATAAAAATTTTTGCACAAAAAAGTTGCTATTTAGATACTCGTATATTTTCAAGATTTAATACAAGATATTTATATATAATTCAAGATTCAATCCGAGTTTGATGAAAATTATATATATAAACACTGTTTAACATTAAATTTTGTCTGATGGCCAATAAAAAAATTTTTCTCGCCTCATCAGATTTACTTTTCAAATTCTAAAATTTTAAAATTAAAATTTTAGAATTTTTTAGAATTTTGAAAAGTGATTAGCTAGTTTTTATTTTATTTACAATTTTGAAATTAATACAAAAAAAATAAAAGATTTTGACGTAAAACCAGAACTCCCTCAGTTTATTTCAGTTTAGTACTGATATGTAAACAGTCACCAGACTTTTCCATAGATTTAATCTTTCATTTTGTTGTTTATGCAAAGGGCAACTTATATTTTTTTCAACAAGAATAATATTTGATTGAAAAAAAAAATTTAACAAGTTTTTGAAAAAAGTTATTTGCAGAGAAAATAAATTATCCCATTTAAAAAAATAACTTTCGATTTTCAATGTAATAATATAAAGAATGAAACGAATAAGAGAATCATAATGAAAAACTAAAATTGAATTTAAAAGGGAAATACTTGTAGATATGTATGTATTTAATTTTACGAACAAAAATTTGGAACTAGTTTATAAGAAGGATAAAATTTCTTGAAATCTACTAATGATTAAACGTTAATTAACAAAATGAAATAAAAATAACTCAAATTTATTTTAATTTAAGTAAATTACTTGTATGTACGTATACCCTACACTCAGAATTTCAGTTAACATTTAATGCAAATATTTTCGGCTGGTTGATAAAATAATTATCACGAAAATTCTTTAGAAGAAATGTCTATTTAAATATGTATGTATAGGTAAAACTTTGTATTCACACGGATTGACTAGGATTTCGCAATTTATGGCTTCTATACTTAATACGCATACATGCTAATAAGTTTTGTTATCTACATGTTCAAATGAATTTTGAAAAATTTTGATATAAAACTCTGTCAGTTTTACAGTTTATACAGTTCTCTTTTAAGATGCGATTCTCAATCATATTTATAGAAGGTGTTTTGCAAAAGCTGGCAAATAGTTTCAGGTGATTCATAATGATTCTTTGATCGACTTCCAGTAAAAAATGGAAGGGGAGAGGGCAGATATACCTGTTTTGTAGCTACAGCCTATTAAAAAAAGGTATCAGATTTTTCCTGCATTTTATATGAGAATGCTTATAATTTCGGAACCATGCAATATAGAGTAACTATCAGATCACTCTTTATAGTTTTTACAATTCCATAGTTTTGGAGATAAAGTTCGTCAAAGTCTTAATTTTTTTTTTAATTTGTTTTAAAAAACTTGAAATTTCTCGAAAATTTTTAGTACTTTTTTTTTTTTTTTTTTTTTGTTGTATTACCATGAGAGCTTAAAATTAACCTATATAACATTTTCCTTTACCCCATAGTTTTGCCAGTAAAACGTGTTTCAAAAACGTTTGAAAAATGCATATTATTATTTCTGTATAACAAATGTTTAAATACATGTGGCTACATGTGTAAGCGAATCGAAGTGATACATATATAATTTAAAAAAAACTAATGTTATAAAAGGTTATTTGACTTTAATTTCATTAGGCTGTACTTTTTTGCAGCATGAATTTCGTAGTCTAAGATATGTGCATACGTATGACAGAAATAAGTAATTTTTCAGATGAAAAAATGGTTAATTCGATTTCTGAGTGTAGAATATAATTCGCATGTTCTTCGAAGGACTAATAAATGTTAAAAACAAAATTTGTTTTAAAAATATTATTAACCAAAACAATTTTGTTCATCAGAAAAATCTTTGCAATCGTAAAAGCCATCACATCGTTGTGTCTTGTTAATACAATACAGATGGTCAAAGCAATCTAATTCATTTTCCTTGCAAGGACCTTCAGCATTTCCATTGCATGTATATTTCAATATTATTTGTAATATAACGTTGATGTATGAAATAACGTAAGGATTATCAAAACAAAATTATCAAATATTTAGAATTTGGTTAATTATAATTAAAAAAAAAATCTTACAATAAAGAAAACTAAAATATTATGAAAAATTTTTTTAAATAATCCAATGTGATACACAAATTTATTTTATATGAATAATTTTCTGCGATTAATTTTAATTTCTTAAAGGGTTTTTCTCAGAAAATTAAGTGCTCTTAAATTACCGGATATGATAGTGCCAATAATATTATATCTATAATAAAATTTTAAGATAGTTTTACAAAGCGTAATAATTTTAATTCGGTGAAAAACATATGACAAATTTTTATATTTTCAAGTTTTTCTAATCAACTATTAATTATTGTAGTAAATTATAAGTACATTTTGTTATAGTACACTATAATTTAAATTGCATAATGTGTTTTACCGTATTAAATATATTTAATATTCATTAAAATACAGCACATAAATAATTTTGCACGAATAACTTACAATCCCTTTCGTCAGATCCATCATCGCAATCATTAGTTCCATCGCATTTTTCTCTATATTTGTAACATTTACCATTGTTTACGCATGTAAGTTCTGGGCAGGGATATCGAGTCGGTACATCGATTGGACTTGATGTTGTTGTTACATTTGTTTGACAATCTGTCTCGTCTCTTTTATCCATACAATGAAATATACCATCGCAACGAAAGTAATACGGAAAACAATTATGATCACAATAAAATTCTTCTGCTCCGCAATCATCTGGAGTTGTATGTGGAGCTATAGAAAAGAGTTAAGGAGCCATTAGAAAGTTATTTAAAACTAGAAATAAAATATGTACGTACACAAACGTACAAGTTTATATAATATTTAAAAAACAAAATTTTAATAGAAATTTTTACTTAATATGTTTCAAAACGTTTATTTCAATTTACATTACATATATACGCACATATACATATATGTATGTAAAGTACCCTTTCAAAAAATTATTAATAGAGAGTATAAGTAAACGATATTTAAAAAAGTGGTATAGAAATTAATGACAGAAACTTCATTAATTTTCTAATTTTGAAAATTCAAAATTTCGTAAATTTTACTTAATTTTGTGTTTAATTAAAAAAAAATCAGGTTTTGATAAACAGAAACAAATTTTGAGGAATCGTATGTAAATAGAAGTGAAAACATATAAACACAAAATTCAAATTCTGATTTTTGTTGCGCTTCTAAAAAGAGTTCAGAACTTTAATAAACTGCATGTAATAATTTTTATCAATATCTAAGTCCATACTTAGTGTTGGCACGTTCTTACAAGCTTCGAGCAATTTTTAAAAATATTCAAAAAAATGAATTTTTGTATTAATAAGGAGAACAAAGTTTATATAATGAAAAGTAAACAATATTTTATTGCAAAAATCTATGCTTGCTTTTGTTTCTAAAATCGTATTAAATTATTTTATTAATGATGTTGTACTTTGAAATATTCATTAATGTTGTCTAAAATAGGAATGAAGTTTCGTGCTTTATTGTCACAAATAAATGTTAAATTAATTAATTTGAAATCTTTGAAACAATACTTTCCATATTACATACATCTTAGAGCTGTTTATATGTACGAATATGTAATCTTAGTAAAAATATCTTTTTTATTAATTCATTTTTTACCTACCAGTTTTTTATATTTGCTCATTATGATATTTAAAAATTTCGATAAATTATTTTAAATTAAAAATTACTTAAATTATTGTTAGAAATGTACCATTTATAACATCTTATTGCAATTGCTTAATTATAACTAAAAGCTAAAACAACATTTAAACTTAAATTATATAAGTAGCAAAACAGATATTTAAAAATTTAAACAGACAAACAAAGAAACATGAGTGAAACACAATGTACCTTATAAAAAAAAAGCACATCACTTGAATATTATAACAACCTAATATATTATAAGAACCTGACTTAGTTTAGAATGCTTGGAAAAAAATAAAAGCTAAAAAAATTATTTTTTTTATTTTTTATTATTTTTTTTTATAATTAAATTTAAATTTTGAATTTAATTTATTTAAACTACGTTTTTTCAGCTCAGAAAGTTAATATTTTATACCAAAAATATATTAGAACTTTTAAATGTTAACTCTGGTCACATACTTTCATATACATACATATGTCTGTTTATCCCAGTAACAAATTTTACGAATAAAAAAAACTTGAACGGTGTTTAATTCGGTTAATTTGGGCTTCACAATTTGTTTGGCCTTCACAGTAATTTAAGTTTCGGAAATTAATTTTATAATGAATTGCAAAAATTGCAGAATTGATGTGTATGAGTAAATTTAGCTGTAGGGCCGCCATTCTCAAAGAAAATATTTGAAGTTTTATGAGATCTTATACTGGCTGTCATACAGTTTTCAAGATTGAAATTAATACGTTCATCTCTAATTCAAATATTAAAATTTTGCATGAAACTTATTTTTCAATGCATAAAGTATGTATGTTCGACTTTATTCATGTTTTTCAAGCTCAGTTTTTTTGTTATTAGAAAAGTTGAAAATTACCAGAATGTCCACAAATACTTTCAGATTCATCAGATTTATCGTAACAGTCAGGATATCGATCACACAAAAATTGGCTGGGGATACATTGGTTATTTTCGCACTTCCATTCATGTTGCTTACAAGCATGAACAGCTGCTCGATTTGAATGATGTTCTTCTTTAAGTATCATTTTGAAGATGTTTTACGATTGGGATGTTTGTTAAGGTTGTGGTATGTGTTGTGTGTTGTCAAGTGTTTTTATCGATGAGTTGTTAATAAACAATATGATATGGAAATGAATTAAAATTTCAACACAAATGAAAAAATAAAAAAATAAAATTTTAACATACATGTAACTATTTGACATGTAAAAACTTAATAAAAATTTGAGGTTATTTAAATAAAGTAATTATTTCATATTTGTATAATAAAAATTTAATTCGTATTATAATAAATTATATTTTGTGCTAACAAACTATAAAGCTTTAAATAATTTACAAATATGTATATGTATTTCTAAATATTTAAATAAATTTAGTCTAAATATAAGTAAAATTTATATTCAATTAGGAATTTACTCCTAGTATAGAAATGTTTAAAATGAATTTTTGATTTATTTACATTTTAATTTTATATTATATTTCTGTTATATACAGTTTAACGATATCTTTTGGAAAATGTTATTTTTATTCTATTTATTGTAAGTATGTGAAAGTGTTAAGAAATGTTAAGTAAAAAAGTAATATTTCCTTATCATTACCATAGCCGCAGTATAATTCATCAGTGGCATCAGAACATTGCGAAATACCATCACACACGCGTTTCCAGTCAATACAAAAGCCATTTTTACAGCGAAATTCAGATACTCTACATTTGGTAACTGACATTCAAATGATATTTTTAACAGGTGAGAGCAGAAATAATGGAAAAATATAAAACGAACAAAAGATATTTTTTTCATTTTCTAACTTACCACAATTAATTTCATCACTACCATCTTTACAATCTATTCTACCATTGCAAATATCATTTTTATGTACACATTCTCCACTTTCACAACTATATTTTGTACAATTGTAAAATCGTTGAATAAAATTTTTGTGTTTATGAATAAAAGCATGTACATATGTATACATGAATATTATGAATTATGAAATTGATTAAAAATGAGAAGGAAAACCATTTTGATAATGCAAAATAGTAAAATGTAATATTTTAAAAATTTATAACATAATTAAATCAAACGTAGTTTGAATAATTTTTGCTTATAAGAACAAATTGTTAACAATACAAACTAAAGAAAAAGAGTTATTTAACACATGTAAGGTGTTAGATTACGCGATTAAATAATAATTGAAATAAAATCAATAATCATGTTTGTACATCAGTTTATGAAATCAATAATCAGGCCGGTTATATTATGATGTTTCAATTTATAAGCCGCAATGAAAATTTATTTTAGAAAACGAAATATACGCAAATATTACGTTATGGTTGTAAGTGTTGAATAAAATTATTGTATTTATGCACATATTTTGTATGTATTATGTCTGTATGCATACACAAACTTTATAACCGGCTACGCAAATGATTATTTTAAATAAAGCCGGAACCAAATTTATATTTATAAATAAAAATTACTCAAACTTTTTTGCTCACTAGGATGAATGAAATTATTTAAATTTGGTGCAAAGCTAACATAAAGCACAAAAATAATTACATTATGAATATAAAGTTCGTACATATGTTATGTACATTATATGTATATTATATTTTGCCGTTTTTACTCAATTTTTTAAACTCAATTTTTTAATTAAACCAAACAAAAATATATTCATTTCGTCTGCAAAAGTTAATATTATGACTTATTGTTGTACTTTAATATGGTTTATTATTATTTACGTATGAATATACACATAAACATAAATAAATAAAAATTAAAAACAATCTCTTACTGAAATGAGTCGAAAAGACAAGCACTACAGTTATCTTCGTCGGTGCCATCATCACAATTTTTGACACCATTGCATCGATCGGTTATCGATATGCAAACGTTAAAGTCGCATTCAAATTCATCTTCATTGCACGATTCTGTGAAGTTTAATAGCAGAAATGAATCGATAAATTTTGACTGCCCTTTATTTGTTATGCTTATCGTGAGAGTTTTAATTATAAATTATAAAATGAAGAAAAAATTAAGACAATTTGTCCTTTAAGTTGTGCTGTACATGTTTTATGTACTTCGTATTTTGTATAAAAACACAGACAAAAAAAAGTCATAAATTTACGCATATTTTGATGTCTTAAAGGAATTTTTACGCGAGAGCAAATTACTAACAAGGAATATTTTTATTACCTGAGTGACAGTTATATTCGTCACTTTCGTCGAGGCAATCTGGATATCCATTGCATTTATTTTCAAGTGGTATACAAGCAAAACCGCAGTCAAATTCGTTTGCTTCACATTCAAATGGTATATCTACATATTATATTAAAAGTTGCATAATTTAAACAATATTGTCTATTATTTTGTCAAAAATGTCGAAATAGATATAGATGTCAAAATTCTTTAAAAGAAATTTATGTACCATTGTAATCGTAATGTGGGCAGTCGTATTCATCAGAATAATCTGTACAGTCGTGAATATTATTACAACGTTTAAAATTGGCAATACAAGTTCCATCAGTGCAACGAAATTGGTCCTTTCGGCATTTTTTATGATGATGATGATGATAATGATGATGATGAAGTTGGTGAATACGATTTAAAAATGTGGATGACCTGCTTTTATTGTTATGAGAATCTATGAACATTATAAGATAAAACTTAATAATTTTTTAAATAATTGCAATTGAGTTTCAATTTTAGAAAAATATTTGTTATCAAAATTTAATAAGTTCTTTCTATTAAGTGCATTATGAAAAAATTTTAAAATGAACGCCTTATGTTAGGAAAACCCATAACCATTGTACAATATAAAAAATAAATTATCTTACAGTTTTTTAAGAAATTTCACTATGGGACAACAATATAGCAACACTCATCTTAAATAGATACTGTAGCAAATCCAAACAAATTTTCCCTACTTGATTTTATTCTTGTTAGATATTACTAATACAAAAAGTGTTTTTTAGTTTATACCTTATTCAACAATTTTCACAATAACAGTACTTACCTTCCGAATAACATAATTTTTCGTCGCTGCCATCAAAGCAGTCATTTTTGTTGTCGCATAACAATTTCAATGGAATACATTGCCCATAGTTTAAACATGCAAACTGACATTAATTTTTTGTGTTGATTTAATTCGATGAAAATGATAACTTAATTTAGGAGCTTGAGAACTGATAGTTATATTTTAATAATGAAGTCAAAAATTTTTAAGAGAAACCAATTATCAAAGTAATTTTTTTAAAACCCATACAACATTTTATGTTATGTTTTTACTTAATATACAAAGGAAATTAAAATGCTCAAGTTAATACTGTGGAAATGGGATAACAGAAACCAAAAGATCCAGATATTTATTTAATTTGCTAATTTAGTTAAGTATCCACTTTCAGAGGCGAATACAATTCTTTCGATTTCAGAAAATATCGATTTGGAACAATCAATGTCAAAATATTGCAAGATGTAAAAATTCAATTTAAAGAAATACATAATTGAAAAAAATATCATAAAAGTATATTTATAAAAGAAGTGAAGTTTATAGGGGACGAATCAAAATTAAAGGACATTGTAACTGTAGAAAATTCAAGAAACTGCAAAAATTATGTATAAAGAGATTTTTCTCGTACGCACGTTCTGCTATTATTCTGCTTCATAAACGAAACTGTATATTTTCATAATACGAATTGTCCATAAATATATGTATAGCTTTCGTTTTTTTTATTCGTGTATTCGAAAAATAAAATGCAAATCTTTTGTAGAAGCGTTATTTAAAAATGTATCATTCTTTTTACTTCATTGACAAACATAACTAGCAGCGTTTTGTTACAAGCATAACGTAAAACTTTGAAAAAAAAATTCCGTTTTACTCGTTTTTATTTGTAAAAAAATATATTGTTTGACATTTTTGAACCTCTGACAAATACGAAAACCTTCAACAATTTATGAAAAGCTACATTATACTATGCATTTATTAATATCACTAACTTTCGGCAAAATATTTTTATTGTTTTGTTAAAATTAAGTAAAGTAGGTTTAGTATTTTTTTTCATTGATTTCAAATTACATATAATTATAAATAATTAAATATGAAAATAAATTATAAATAATTATGTTAAGAACATATGTATTAATAATATGTAAAGGTTCTTGCAATGCGTGTTATGCGTATGTACGATACCCAAGTATTTTCTACGAGTTTACGAAAATTTTATTTATCAAAATTTTACGAAGTTAGCAGTATAATCAAATCGAATTTAAAAAAATAAAAAAAAACAAAATAAAGCTTTTACATACCTTATACTGATAGCAGTGACATAAAGGGGCTGAATCCGTAATAGATCTCGAACATTGTAATGGTTCGTTACATGTAAGATTGCTAAATAAACAAGCTATAGAGTACTGATCGTCGTCGACACAAGGAAATGAACCACTCTCACAAAAGTGAGAATCTGTATACCAATCACTCACTATTATGTTAGTATTATTTTCATCGTTGTTAGTCGAAAAGAAATATGATCCCAAATATAATAAAAAAGAAATGTTAAACCCCTTAGAAAAATTAAAACATTTGATATATTATTGCTTTGTTTTAAATACTCTCACCGTTCTTATAAATACAAATTCAGTACTTTAATTGTAAATTATTATGACTGAAGTTTTAAATATAGCAAAATATAATTATATATATATGAATAATTATTTGTATTATATTAATATAATAAATATGTACATATGTGTATTCCATATAATAATATAACACACATATACATATAATATTTTCCCGTTGAAGTAAATTTAAAGCAAAACAAATGTACACCATATACAGAAAATATTAACGTAACATATGTACATATTTTATAATTTTAAACATACTTCGTCTCGTGATTGGCATATAAGAAGTGGTGGTAGTACTGAGCCGGTATTTGGCCGTTGTTCTCTTTGTTGTTGGTGCGGCAATAGTTGTAGTTCTAATCGTGGTGCTAGCTTTCGTAAAATCTGACATTTTTGTTGTTTTATAAGATTGGAAATGTGATTTTGTTGTTGTAAGTGTAATATTTTGACAATGTTCTTCATCTGATTTATCATTACAATGAAATGCACCATCACATTTCAAAGCCATTGGCAAACACACACCACTACTACGACATTTAAATGAGCTACCTTTGCATGCAGTTTTTGGATTATATGTGGGAACATACTTTTCAAACGGTGAATTATCCACTAAAGTGTTACTTTCACTATAAGATTCAGCTACTTATTTTTTATCATTTGTTAGAGTGCAGTTCAATTCAGTACATGCAATTTTTAGTGTATATTAATGAAAATTTCATGCAAATTTTGTTGTTTTCCAAATATATTAAGTTTAGGTGTCCATTATAATTTTTACAGTCATGCATATTTTTACCAAAAAATCCATTGATTGACCAGTAGATGTCATATTATTTTGTAATATAGCATTTATTAAATGAGTAAATTTGTAAAAAAAAATGAAGCATTAAAAATAAAAATTTTAAAAATTAAATTTCTATTAAAGTGTAAAGTAAAAAAATGGTATTACAATAAAAAATTAAATGAGTATTAGAATCAGTTCTTATTTATTTGTGCACATCTTGTCTGTTTTAATCAAAACTAATCAAATCAACTTAATTATTAAGCAAAGCTAAATAAATAACAAATAAAATTATAAGGTAATATTTAGTTTTTAATAATAGCTTTATCAAGGTAATTACAGTAATAGTTATAGTAACAAAAATAATTAAACAAAAGCAGTTTTTAAAAGAAATAAGAGAAATTCTAGAATGCTTAATTTTCGCTAACAAACAATTGAATTCTTTAGGCTTTTTTAAGCCCAAATTTAAAACAGTAGTACCCATAAGTGTAAAATAACAACCACGTTTTTTATTCCAGTTCTTAAATAATTTAAAAACAGCAGAATATAAATAGACATGTAAAGGCCCGATTCGTAAATAACAAAAGTGTTTGAAAGAAGAGAAATTGTTTTTTCTTCCTTCAACATAACTTGCTTAGCATTTTTTATTTATGTTATCTATTATGTAAGTATATAGTACATACATATTATGTTGAACAATATAAAAATATAACACTAACCAACATCTTTTCGATACGCCTTAATATTTTCAATTTTTGGAAGTTTTCACTTGTTTTTTATAATAATAATATTAAGGATATGCAAACTAATGCAAAAAAAATATAAGAAGTTAGTGAAAAGATGTGGAATAACATTTGAAATTTTAATCTTGCATAATTTTTTTTATTTTATTAATTTATTTTTGTTTTTACAAAAGAGGATGTTGGTCGTATAATTTTCTTTATTTTTGAAAAAGTTGCTTTGAATAAAATAAAAACATGAATTTTGAAGCCATTAAAATTTTCTGAATATTTTGTAAATTGCAGTTCTAAATATTTTATGGACTTTTTGTTGTTTTTTACAGGAAGGCAATATGTAAATATTTTAAAATAAATCTTTATTTATTATTTTTTTTTTTTTAAATTAAAAATTTATATTTGTTTCACTCATAGGGGAAGAATAGGAATTTACATAGTTTAGCAACAAGTTAAAAATTGTATAAAAATATTTAAGAAATATAATTTTAATTTAAAGTATTAAGTACATACATTAATTTTTCAAAAGATATGTATTTCACAAAATATAAAGTCTGCTAAAAGAACATAAAAATTAGGATGATATTTATACACAAAATAATTATTAAAATTTGGGGTGTAATTAGTTTGCAAACAAAAAGAGGAAATCAACAGCAATATGTAGAAGACTTACCTTTTCAAAATGATCAACAATTATGGTTTAACTAAATATTTTATAAATTTCGTTAACAAAAAATTGCATGCACTAATCAAAATACATATCTGTAAGAAGAAAAATGGCATACCATCACAATTTCTTTCGTCTGAAATATCGTTAGGACAATCAATGTTACCATTACAACGCAGGGTAATTGGTATACATGCTTTATCATCACATTGCCATTTGTCATATAAGCAAGCTAATGTCAGTAAAAATATAAGATAAGTCAATTATCAATTTAAAGGTATTTTTAATAATGTATAAGAGAAAATTTTAAAGAGAAAAATTCATCTTTAATTAAACTCAAAATAATTTCCATAAAATTATATTAAAAAAGGATAAAATATTAGAAAATAAAAATAAGGCAAAATCCATAATTTTTTAAATTTGAATGTTCTGAATGCATTTGAATACAGTGGTCTACCTGAATATCAACTATTTTAATTTTGCAAACTTTTTTCTAAGTTTTGTTTAGTTTGAAATAGTTTTGCATATAATGGAATGAATATACAAACATATATACATCAATTAAACAAATATTTGGATAATAACATTAATTTTTATAGTTTTTAATGAGGAAGTTTTTAATATTTTTTTGAACCGATAATTTTAAACGCGTATGTATGTATATAAATAAGTTATTTGGAACACATTAATTGACAAGGATTTTTTAATTTATTTGAACTTCCAAAACAGTTCTTAATTGCAAAAAAACCGGACTACTTCTACTGGTTCAAATTAGTAATTTTTAATTTTGCCTTTGAAATAAAAAGATCATTAAAATATTTATGTAAGTTAACGTACGACAATCTTCTTCATCCATTCTATCCATTGGACAATCAACTTTTCCATCACATCTTCCTGTTATAGATATACACGATAAATCTCGGCAAGTAAATTGTCCCTCTGGACAAAAATATTTAATCCGAGGTATGACTGGTAAAGCAAGATTTTTAAGATAAATTGCAACACCACAAATATACTTAAATAATATTATATTTTTATATACAAACATGTAAAAATTCATCAAAGTATTATGTTATTATGTTTATTATGTAAAAAGTATGTACACAAATTTGAAATTTAAATTAATTTTCCTATACTATTGTTAGATTTCTTTCTAATATTTACAATCTAAAAATATTTTTATTATAACATTCAACAATCATTTTGTTGAATTCCAACTTACCTTCGTCACAATTTTCTTCGTCATCACCATTAGGACAATCTTCGTCACCATCGCATACTTGATCGTTACTGATACATTTCGATCTATCATGACACTGATATTGCTCAGAAGTACATTCGTTCGCTGGTGATTTTAGGAATTCGTGCAATTAATTTTAAGTTGTGAATTTACATAATTAATATTGTTAGTACAAGTTTTATACCATTTAATAGGGTCTTTGTGCGTATTATAGATGAACGTAAAAAGATTGTTTAAATATTTTATAATATAATTACGTTAGTTATAACCAAGTTATGAAAATAATAGCGTTATTTGATACCAAAACCCTTATTATATATTTTAATTTTATTCCAAAAGCGAACAATTTTTTTATATTTTCAAATTTTGTTGTATTAATATATTAAATAAATTATATATGTATGTAAATATAAATGTTTAATAAAAATTAATTTGAATGTCAATTGCTAATAATATCTAAAAATAATTTTTTATAAAAAATGTAAGTATAGCTTAAGACAAATGTTTTTACTACTTTTTACCATTTATTTTTTAATATATGTAGATATTTATTTAATATGATTAATAATAAATTTACTTACGACAATTGTCTTCGTCATCCCGATCGCGGCAATCGTAATGATTATCACAGAGTTGGCTTCTCAATATACATGCCCCGTTCCGACACTGGTATTCATCAGATCGGCATTCTACAAGAAAAATAATGTACATAAGTAGAATATTTTCATGTAGACATACTTTAGCTTTAACTTAATAACGTAAATACAATACATATTTTATTTTGCAAATACAAATTGATTACTGAAAGTACGAAAATTCAATAATGCAGTGACGTTTGGGTTTTTTGTTAACGTTAAAAAATGCGGTAAGCATGATGATACCTAAGTTTGAGATTTTTATGTAATATAATAATTGTAACACTTTTGACAAATTTAAGAAAATTATAACAATAACAGAAAAAAGGTGAAGTAAATTACCAAGACTGCAGAAATCAAGACTACCGCGACCTAGATCAAGACAAAATAGTTCGTTGTGGAATTCATCACAGAACAAAAGTGTCTTTTTGTATAATAGATTTCGACGTCGCAATACAAAATCTATTCGGATAATAACTAACTTATTATAAGCAATAAACTGTAAGAGAGAAATAAAGATATTTTTACATTATAATTATAAAATATACAATAGCAAAAGTGTTGTAAATCTAAATTTATAAAAAGTACACATTGTGACATGTGCAGCTAACTGAATAATGTACTTCCTTAAAATGTACATATTATTTTAATATCAATTAGAAAAAATTTTTATTAATAATCTGATAACTGATTTAAATCTTGCAGAAGAAACATTTATTGTTTTGCAATTTATAGCTGGTAGTGGTATTTTAGGTTTGCTGGGAATGAATATATTTTCTATTGAAGGAACATCGTATATATATACTTTGTACTTTAATTATAAACATGTAATTCTAATAAATAAGATTGAAAAAAAAACATGTAAAAAACCTAAATTTAAAGCCTTAAAGCTATATAATATATAGATTTTTAATTTTAATTTTTATTGCAAATTTTCTTCTAGCATACAATTAAGTTAACCACTCCGAATTTTCACTCATCCTTTATTATATTTTGTTTATTAGATTACGTTTTAGATTCACCTTTTATGCCAACAAATTTTCTATTCTACACTTTTGTTTACATCGTACATGGCTGGAAAATTTAAAAGAAAATAATTCTGTTTTCCATTTTAGCTACAAATTGGAGTGAAATTAGAGTAAAAATCTTATTATTGATCCACAACGTTATAATCATAACGTTGAGGCTTCTCTTGCAAACTTTAAAAGTATACATTTATCATCTATAAATCTTATATACTGTACAATGTACAAATTTTATTACATACACATAGATGCTAGAATAATTTTGCAATTACAACAAAATATGTTTACAAAAATTAAAAAAAAAAAATCAAAATAAAATTTTTAAGTGCACAATTTATAGATAAAATATTTTCAGAATTTAAAATTGATTTTTTTTTTATAAGAGCTTCGTAGTATAATGTAGAGTATTAAACGTTTTTAAAGTTTTCAAACGCGTTTGTAGTTAATGTATTTTCTTTAACTTTAAAAAAATGTTTTGGTTTCTTTGAAATTTTCTGTTCACCAATTTTTGATGAAAACAAACTTATATATTTGTAGATATTTCCATTCTTTAATACTGTTTTTTAAATTAATGGTGATACGTTAGGTTCGAAAACTTTTTGTCCGAAACCTTTTTTAAGAAAAAAATTAATAAATATGTTATTTATAAATAAATTATTTCAAAAAAATTAATAAGTATTAATATCTATCCTATAGGTTAAGATAATCATAAAATCATAATTTAAAAAAAGTCTCACAATTAAATAAGTACAGTTACGTAACACAATATTATTTCGCATATTTTTTTAATCGGCTGCTCTGTGAAATTGTAAAGCGAAAGCTCTTTTTCGAATTTCCAAAATTCATTCGACAGAGGACTGTGTGAAACATTTTTCTGACCAAAAGTAAGTATTGAAATTAAGTAAGAACTAAAGTAAGTATTGAAATTAAGCAAGAAATTAAGTAAGAACTGAACCGCTTCAATTCTTCTTATACGTACGAAGCAGTATAACAAAGGTTTTATTAAATTAACTTTTAATGGAAATTTCAAACAACTGCAGAAAAGATGGATGACGTAATTAAAGGAACGAGTTAAAGGCAGAAAAATTAGAAAATTTTTCTCCTCGAACTGCACTCAAACCAATGACCTACCGCTTAATATAGTAACCAACTACAGAAGTATGAAGAAATTGCCCACGAAAGGTTTTATTAATTGATTTAAAAATGAGTGATCGAATTCCTTACCTATATTTTTATAAAGAGAGAATTTAATTGGCTTTATTATTTTAAGTATTAAAATGAGGTTTAAAAGTCAATTTATCGTTAAAGTTGACAGCCGAATTTCGAAAGGAATTGACTATATTTATGAACTCCTCACAAATAAATTAATCAGTATTAAAAGGAACAGATTTTAGCATTGAACTGTTGCACATTTACCAACGTTAAGAAGTAAGTCGTTCTGGTCACACCAGGTTGAAAAAAAGGAGAGGTGACCTTGCAATTTAACGGAGATCTCAGAGAAAGCAATTTATTTTAAAGATTTTCGCATAACCAGTATAAATCATAAATTCGCGATAATTTATGATAGATATAACGTTATTTATCGCTATAACAAATAACTAAGAACTCAAAAGAACAATCTCAAGAGCTCAAAAATTAGAAATAAACGGACTTGGCGGTCAAAGTCTAGAAGAATTATAGTATTTACGATTCAATAAATATAATTTCACCGAATTCAACCAAAAACCTTTGCCACATTATAAGTATATATACGGGTATATATATTTGTTTTGATTTAAAATAAGATTTTGAAAAAATAAAACAATTACGTTATGTGTCCCACGTTCCTCTTCCATCTGATTAGTTTAAGCTACGCATAGTACGAATTGATTAAAAATATTATTGTATAATTTTGTTAGAAATTTAAAATTTGTTTACCATTTATATAATAAAAATTTAATTTTCCATTAAATTTAAATTTTTTCTGAAACGTATTGCTTTATTAGATACGTGTACGTTTTAGCTACATGGATTTTAAAATTAAAAATTGCACAATATTTGTTATAAAAAGGATTATATTAACATCAACAAAATGATATATTCATGCAAGCTAAACAAAATTATTCATTCGATTGTTACAAGTGAAAAACAATCGAATTTATTTTTATTTACATGAACTTATATATATGTAAAAAATTAATAAAAGTAGAATTTTTGTGTATATGTTCGCACATGCAGAATGTTTCTTTAGCAACCTTAAAGCTAACGTATTCATGAAATTGACACAAAATTCCTTTGGGCCTTAATTAAGTAATCAATTTTAGCTTTTTCCATCATCACCCTAATCATTCTCAAAAAATATTTCAACATCGGCATATAGGTCGGCTTAAAGGTAAACAACAATTTGACGATTTATTCTGTTTTTGTTCTCTTTCTCATTTTACTAAACGTTACCTGTATAAATAAAAAAAAACATTGCCAGAATATGATATCTGTTCTGACTTTTACGATTTTTTTTAATTTTTTAAAAATTGTTAAAGGATAAATTTTCACTAGAAGAACAAGAGATTGTTTTAATATGCGAATAGAAATCTTCAACGGAGAATTGAAAAAAAAATTCAAACATATAAAAAACTTTAAGATTTTGTTCTTTCAGTATGTTTCTGATATAGTGATATATTATATATTTTCGATGTATAGATGCATACATGTATAAATATGTGTACGTAAATTCAAAGGATTACTTTTACATAAAAGTAAATAAAATATTTGGGTAACAGCATTTTTTTAAGTTAGCTTTCTTTATTCATTTTTGTTAATATTATATTCAAAGCAGATGGTTTTATCCTGTTAAATAAATAAGAAGAAAAATCCTGAAAGAAAACAAAGGCATTTTTGTTTTATCAAATAAATAAAGAAAAATTAATGGGAAGAATAATATGCAGAAAGTGAAATTGGTATAAATTTTCTGATAATTCTTCAAAATAATACAAAAAAAATTTTACTGGCATAAAAAGATATGCATAAGTCTAAAGTTCCTTTTTCCATTTGTAATACAGTTGAGAATTTTAATCAGTTTTCTTTGTATACGAAAGCAAAATAAAAAATTATGGGACAGCATAATACGAAAATATAATGGATCAATCTATTAAAGGGAAATAACGTATTTCCCTTTAATAGTTAAAATCTAAAGTTTGTATTCAATTAGCCTTTAGTGCAAATAAATAGTAAAAATTTTCTATTGAAATAATGATCTCTATTGTTTTGATTAAAAAAAATTTGGTTTTAGGTTGTGGCTTTGAAAGCGAAAAATTTCATTTTATTATAGTATATATACTATCTCTACCTAGTTCAACGAAACTGTTATTGTTCTAAATAGAATGGAACACTATCATAAATATTAAAAAATTATATTTTTTTGACCATGCTTGAAAAAAGACATGATAAATATAACATGAAGAATTAAATAGCAATTTGAACTTACTTGCTAATTTCCCGCACACCAATCTTTCATACATACTGCAATAAAATTATGGTTATGTCTGTGAGAGGGTCATGTCTTATGTGTCTTTCAATGGACTAGTTTTCATGTAGAAAAAACGATATCGGCGCGATTACTAATAATTATGCCTCTTTTGACATTGAGATAATTACGTGCTTCATTATTGAAACGTGCATCATTGAATCGCATTAAAGTAGATCAATTGTCCTCTTTTTTTCAATAAGACAATCTTATTAGCGCGACCATCTTAACACTAATTCAGCAGTTTTGAGGATTACTTGCAAATAAGTAGTTTGGGTTCGTACTTCATAGTTTATAAGTTTTTAAGCTTGGCATCTATGTTTTTGTCGTGAAAAAGCAATAGTTTAAAGCAAGGAGATATGAAATAAAAATAATTTATTTTGAAACGCGAATGAAGATTTACCTGACCAAAAAATATTAATACAGAAAATTTGTTTACTTATTTATAGATTTATATTTCTTAGTTTTCTAAAAAAAACATAAATATGTAGTTAAATGATTTTATCTGTTAAAAACTGTTAAAAAAT